TTGGAGGTTTTCTGTCTCCAAAAACGATATTTTGCATTCATCAGGCTGAGCAGGGATATTGATGTCTTCTTTCCCATTGGAACTTGTGGTTAGGCTTCTGTTCTCTGTCATACTCACATCTGTTGAATGTTCACCATTGGAGATGCCGATCTCTTTCTGAATGGTAGCATGTTCTCCTACGAGTTTATTTTCTGTTTCCTTCTCACTCGGTATTCTTTTCTTCCTCGCCTTCCTTGATTTTTTAGAAACCTTAATCATGAAAGAAAAATGGTTTTAGTACAAATACAATAAAATATTCCCCACCCAAAATTACGAATGCATTATACCCTCAAAGTTCCACATGCTTGAAGGTTTTCCATTAGTCGTAAAACTTTATAAACCATCTCTACCAGATCTGCAAGATCACTGATAAGGAAAACATGTGAATATCACAAACATTAGAGGCATTCAATCAAGAGAAAAAATGTTAATCAGTTTTAGAATAACTTCCTTTCAATCAAAGACAAATGTATCCTAAATATCATTTTCCAGGTATGTATTTTACCAATAGTATCTTAATATTAAGGACAAGTGTTGCTAAATGATCAGTCAAAATCATACCCTGCAGAATTGAATTATCTCCTTTTCTTAAAGATTGCATTACTAAATCTTTTTGCCCAACAACAAATACAGCATTCCTCTAATTCTCTCTCATATTGGATTACACAGCTAATGGAGAGAACCTCTCCACAGGATTTGAAAGGTGAGAAATTATACTGGAAAATTTAATACATAAAAAAACGTATTAATTGATATTAAAAGGAAAAAACCTTCTAGGTTGTTTGTGAGTATCAAATGATTTGAGCAAATTTATCAGGAAATGAGTCATCCCCTCATCAGTCTGGTCATAAAATAACTTGTACAGAAGTATGCGGGCTGTTTGAGGCTCCTTGGAGTTCTCTGGCAATAACTTAAGCACCAAATCTAGCATTCGAATCTGGAAGGAAGAGAAGTTGGTTGAGAAGCATGTTATGAGGGCATAATTATTAATACAGTTCTTATCCCAACTTCAAATTGAATATGCACTAAAAAACATATCAGTAATGAAATAGTGAATCACCATAATTTTCAAAAGAGAACCAGCTGCAGACAGAAACTTGTAGTCATGTGTTTCCTTCAAGCCATCAAATGCATAACGCCACTTTGAAATGACTAGTTGGAACATTGACTCATTCATTGACGCTGCGATGGGTCCACATACATCACCTCTGAAGAATGTGATATCAGCATCTTTATGGGTGGGAGCTTCAGTTGTGTCTGCTTCTGCACCGATGCTTGGCTGTTAAGGCATAGAAAGTACAGATCAAACAATTATAATTCTCCAGACAAGAAATGTGACTTCAGAATATCCTCAAGAAATTTGAAATGACCCAGAAGAAAACCACTATGCAGCATGGACCCATTCTATCAGAAGTACAAAAACTAAACCCTTTTAGTTCAGGGGAAAGATCATTTATGCACTGGTTGAGATGTGTGTTGGGATGGATTGAGATGAGGGAATATTCTCCATGCAAAGAGGTTAGTTCACTAATTGAATTTAACGGTTTTCATTGTGCAAACAGTAATTACCATGCCCATTTATGAAACAACTAACATAATAATCTAAGATTAGCTTGTCTCACCTTAGAAATTGAAGACTTGTGATATTGGAAAGAAGTAACAAACTGAGCAACCTGAAAGAAGATAATGACATCACTGTTCTGAATTGCGTGGTGTTCCTTTTCAGTATCCGAGCGAATTGACTGCATCAAAACTGATACACATGCGAACTTTGTAATTATGCAATAACACCAAGTAAACAAACATAAAACAGAAACCAAAAAGAAAAGACATACCATTGTAACCTCCTGATAAAAACTGGTTTACAAAATCATGAAGCAATTCTAAAATCTCATCCTTCGTCGAAGGCAATGTCCCATGATCCCAAGCAATTTTTTTTATTGGACCCCGACGACTATGTGGTTTAAGCAAGGTATTACAAGAGGCAGAAGTAGGTTTTCCCTTCAAGACTGCCTTAGAACCATCCTGCCAAGAAAAGTTCATTGCTATTAGATAATGATCTACTAAAAACCTCTCTAGCATCATTCCATAGTGAAACTCCCTACCAAAGTAAGCTGGGTAAATGTTCCACTAAAATGTGAATGACGACCCATGTTGCGTAGTCTAGAAAGTCTTTTTTTCTCTTCTTCTTCTTCCTCCATTATAGACTTGAGACTATTTAGAGAACCTGTGGTGTCTCCACCATCCACCTAATAATTACAAGTTATTACTGGACTGTTAGAAAACTATAACTAAACGTAAGCTCACATCATCAGAAAAATAATTCAAATCTCATAAGTTAAGAATATAAAGCAAGAAAAGGAAAGTATTTTTTATTGATTTGATTTGTACTTATTGCACTATTGTTATTAAAAACAAATAAAAATTTTCGTTTGGTGGCTCTACCTATGTCTCAAATAAAGATTCTTATCTGAGGTTCATCCTTATTTACATTTCTTGCTAGCTTTGAACAAATGACATTTCTATAAGAAAGAATTCAGAAAGAGATGAAGAGAAACCAACCTTAGGACCTTTTGAACATGTGTTTGCAATCAACTCTGGCTCTTGACCCATAAATATATAATGAAAAATCTCCAATAAAAGCAAGTTATCTTGACAGAGATAGCTACGGGAATCCCCAATATGCTGGGTTATGACCAAAACTAAGTCCATCACATTCTCATGAAACAAAAGTTCCAAAAATCTATCTCTGAGTGATACAAATTGACTGGCAGTTCCCCCAGACTTCTGCTGTAGTGAAATTTCTTGAACAGCTAAAATGTTTCGGAATAAAGTAAGTACCAGCTGCACCAATTTCCAGTCATCCTCCGTGAACACATCACTGTGTAGGATAGGATTAGTCATCAAACCAATTATGAGAAATCTAGAAACTATATGAAGATATAGTAAGTAAACAAAATAATGATTATTGAGCACCAGAAAATAACCTAGAACAAAATATAAATTATGTAATGTCAACATGCAAGAGCCACTTAACCCATCAAAATTCGGAAAACCAACATGAATTTAGTGAATCAGCTAGGTACTCAGGTAATGTTATAGGTAAAGAGATAGCTGGGACAAGCACTTTGCTCCAAAGACTTCAACTCCAATAGAAGATGAAGTATATGTAATTTTCAAACAAACGATGAGGCAGAAGATGAAGTATACTTAAAAAATTTATCCTCACCTTTCCAAATTTTCTAGTGGGCTTTCCAGAAGTGATACTATAACTGCAATAATGTCACTGGACGTAATTGAAGACTTCAACCTCCACAGAAACTCTATCTGTTGTAAAATGTCATTTGACGAAGGCTCAATTGGCATAGTTAGGAACACAAGAACCTTCACTGAAAATTCCAAACAATGAATAATTGAAGTCATCACTTTGCAGTAATTTTTCATAAACATGTAATGAAATTATAAAATGAACTTACCTGCATTTAAAACCAAGTTGGTGTCATTTTGGCAGTGTTCAATAATGGGTACCAAATCCTGATCCACAATCTTCCATTTACAGACTTGTTTAAAAACATCCCGATTCTGTGGGTCATCACGCCTCAAAAACCTTAGCAAATCTTTCAAATTATCTGTCAATGAAAAAAGAAAACCAAAATTTCAATCCCACACTTAACTGAAGAAAATAACATCCCACTCCATATTTTGTTTTCATCCGCTCAATCGAGCCCATATGATTTCCTCGTGTCTTTGAGCTAAAGCTATTGGCTTAAATGAAATCTAATTTAAAATTGCTAGAAACCAAATGAAATCTCAATCGAGCCCATATGATTTCCTCATGTTTCATTATCCTTACATTTCCAAAATGTTCTTGGCAGTCAAACGGAGATTTCTCGAAGACATAGGTAACGTACCTAAGCAGTACTTGCTCTTTGAGTAACCGATACGGTTGCCATTGTCATCCTCTTCTGCAATTCCAAGATCAGAGCATATCGCCGATAAGCCTTCCAAGTCCATCTTCGGACGAACTTTATTGTTTTCGAATTCTGGTTCAATAGTTTAGGATTTCTGGAGAGGATGGCGAATAAAAGGATTTAGCGCGAGAGCGATCGGATCTCAGTGAAAGGGTTTATTGTGATGGCTCTGGTGGCGCGAATTTTGATGTGAATTTCCCGCGCTCTTCAATCGCTCTGGTGGCCTGTTTTAGCTGAGGTGGCAATTTAGTTGTACAGGTGTCAGTTTGTTAGTGGAGCTGATCTGTTATCATCATTGCACAAAACTTCACCGAAATAGGGCTATCCCGATGATTAATTGGGTGGGTTCATCCAATTATACGCAGTAAAATTGGGTGGGTTCATCCAATTTGCACTTCTAACAAAATAAATTCAGTGCATAAATCAAATTTGCTATGCATTATGGCTAATTGAAATATTGATTCAAACTTAACTTAAAATAAATTATATTGTCAAAAAAATAAAAATAAATGTCGGGTTTAGGACCATTTTCTTATTGGGTAAAAATATAATCACCATTTTTATTTATAGAAAGTATAACATAATGTAATAAATGTACACGTTAAGTGAATTAGTAACATCAAAGCCAATATGAAGAAAAATATTAAAGTTTAGGGTTTATTCGCAAACCAACCCAATATGCCCACTTTTTCCAGAGGCCCAAACATGAGTAATGAGACCAATGAGTCTCGTGACCCACCCGTTCTCTTTCGACAAAGCTCTCCGCTTTGATAGAAGTAGAACGACTTTTACTTAGCAAGCGCTACGTTTCGTTTATTCGATACAACCAAAGCCCTCCTTAACTCTCTTCTTTATGTCCCCTCAAAACCTCCGCCAAATTTAGCGGCGACTTCTACAACCTCCCCCCACATTCGTTTAAATCCTCGGAATTCACTACAGCCTCCTCCAAAACTTCGCATTTCCAAACCTCTACCATTCTCTGCAACAACAATGGCTCAAGTGGTGGCTATGCGGGCGATTCAGAGTTCGATCCTTTGTCCTAGCTCTGGATCGTTACAGGGCCGGACAGAGAAGCTGAAGCCTCCGAGCTTCGCTTCCAAAGTTCTGGCTCGCGAGGAAAAGAAGAAGAGCTGGAAAGCGTTTGGCAATAAGAGGTTTGAGGTCACTGCAAAGCGACCCCTACAGACCGAGGTCGTCCCCGTCTCACCTGAAGACACACCCAAGGTTCTTGCTACTCAATCTTCTTCTTTTTTTGCCTTTTGTCCTTGATGTGTTTGGTTGCCGAGAAGTTGTAGGAAATCAGAAGAAAAAGTTACATTTTTGTTTTTGAATTGATAGTAGATAAGCTGATAATTGATTGCTAGATATTTAGCTTGTTTGAGTAGAGCGAGGCTGCTTTTGTTGAAATTGTAGATACAAGTTAGAATCTATGCTTAGTGTAATTTCTTTGGTGTTGCTGATCAGATAGAGGATCAATTTCAGAAGTTCCGGGCAATTCAACAACATGATGCCACATCGGTGGGTATGTGGTCAAAGCCAGTAGTCAAACGTAAGACAAAGATTGTTTGCACAATTGGTCCTTCCACAAACACACGTGAAATGATCTGGAAGTTGGCGGAGGCTGGAATGAATGTTGCCCGGCTTAATATGTCCCACGGAGATCATGCTTCTCATAAGAAAGTTATTGACTTGGTTAAAGAATATAATGAGCAATCTAAAGACAATGTCATTGCAATCATGCTTGATACCAAGGTAGGTTTCCCTTATTGTTTGTTCTTATTCCTTCCGTATCCAGTCATTACATTGTATTGCGTAAGTCAGTAAATTTTCCCCCCAATTCAGGTTTGATTTGACATATGATGTGTTACTATTTGGATTATTTCGGAGTCATTCTATTGATGATGTGTTCTTCTGTATCAGGGTCCTGAGGTTAGGAGTGGTGACCTGCCACAGCCAATCAACTTGGAAAGTGGTCAAGAATTTACTTTTACAATTCGTAGAGGAGTTGGCACAGCGGATTGTGTTAGCGTGAACTATGATGATTTCGTTAATGATGTAGAACCAGGAGACATGCTTCTGGTTGATGGTATGCTGAAGTTTTACTTCTTTTTTTTGGGTTAACCACTGAAGTTATGTTTATATTTTTATGCACACTGACTCTTGATTTGTGCTGTAGGTGGTATGATGTCATTTCTGGTAAAGTCCAAGACTGAAGAATCAGTGAAATGTGAAGTTGTTGATGGAGGAGAGCTTAAGTCTCGTCGACATTTGAATGTGCGAGGGAAAAGTGCAACATTGCCTTCCATCACTGGTTAGGTTCCTAATTTATTGATTATATCCATTAATAGTTTATTTATATGTTTTTTTTAAATGTCTTTATTGCCTGTTTTGCTAATGAATATAGTTGTCTACCTTATTTGTTGCAGAGAAAGACTGGGAAGATATTAAATTTGGAGTGGATAATAAAGTTGACTTCTATGCTGTTTCATTTGTCAAAGATGCACAAGTTGTTCATGAATTGAAGAATTATCTGCAAAGTAAGATTCCAAATATTGTTATCTTATGTCCACAAAATATATTTGATTACCACGTTTTTGCTTAATGCTTACAAATAATTGTATTTCGATTTGATATTGCAGGCTCTGGCGCTGATATACACGTTATTGTAAAGATAGAAAGTGCAGACTCTATCCCAAATTTGCACTCCATTATCACAGCATCTGATGGGGTAATCTCCTGAATCAATGAATGGAAGCTTTTTCCCTGAATATTTGCATGTTCTTTTAATATATACATAAAACATTCTAACCCTTGCCTGATAATACTAACACATGGTTATCTTCTTTTAGGCTATGGTTGCAAGAGGAGATCTTGGTGCAGAGCTCCCTATTGAGGAGGTTCCACTTCTGCAGGTTGTTAACGACAAACATATGACAATTGAAATTTCAATCCAGTTAACATGATTGTAACATTAAGTTGAGTTAATCTATTACATTATGAACCCCCCCGATTTATATTTCAAAATGTAGGAAGAGATAATCAGGATCTGCCGTAGCATGGGGAAAGCTGTTATTGTGGCAACAAATATGCTGGAAAGCATGATTGTTCACCCAACACCAACCAGAGCTGAGGTATCAGACATTGCCATTGCTGTTAGAGAGGGCGCTGATGCAGTTATGCTTTCAGGAGAAACTGCTCATGGAAAGTAAGTTGTGGCTATTGGAATTATGCAATAGGAACCTGTTTTCAACTATAGTCTAGTCATTTAGACCATAGGATCATGTAATAAAGTGATTTCGTTTCCATGTAGGTTCCCATTGAAGGCCGTGAAAGTTATGCACACTGTTGCACTTCGGACAGAGGCAACCATCTTAGGTGGTGAATTGCCAGCCAATCTTGGTAAAGCTTTCAAGGTCAGGGAACATACAATTATTTATTCATTTTTTGTACGCAGCATCCTACCATCTGGATAAATTTTTCCATTTGTTTGTCAGAATAAAAACTGACGTGAATTCTTTATTTCTGCAGAACCACATGAGTGAGATGTTTGCTTACCATGCAACCATTATGTCCAATACTCTTGGTACCTCAATTGTTGTCTTTACCAGAACTGGTTTCATGGCTGTTCTTTTGAGCCATTATCGGCCTTCTGGGACCGTATTTGCCTTTACAAATGAGTGAGTTTTCATGTTATTTGTCATGAAGGCATATTTGTGATACTCTGACCAGAGTTTAGTTGGAGTACAACTTCACCCTTGATAATTTTTTACACCCCCCCTGCATGCACATTGATATATTAAATATTTTAACATTCGTAACTGTATCAGTTAAAATACTCTTTACCATTAGGAATATGAATTTGATTATTTGGCTGATCTAGTAGTTTGATGACATGCAGTAAGAGGATACAACAGAGACTGGCTTTATATCAAGGTGTATGTCCCATATACATGGAGTTCACAGATGATGCTGAGACAAGTTTCAGCAATGCCTTGACTGTGCTGCAGGTAATGCTTTTCTGGAATTTGCCTAAATTTACGAGGAATAATTTAAATTGGCAGGAACCATATTTTTGGTTATTTATCTTTAAAAAATTTCATGGAACATACCAGTCAATGGTTTGGATTTGGGCCAACCTAGCAATGCCAACCATTTTAAAGCCCTTGTCAAATGGATTTAATGTTAATTATTTGATCGTTTCAACTTTGTTGATGTATTTTCTGGTGTTTCATATACAGAAGCAAGGCATGGTAAAGGAAGGAGAAGAGGTGGCACTCGTTCAGAGTGGCAGACAACCCATTTGGCGGATCCAGTCCACTCACAATATTCAAGTGCGCAAAGTTTAGATGCAATGGAGAAGGAAGAGAGCCCTCGTAACTTAGTTATCTGCCTTTACACCACGATAATTTCGAGTCATTATAGCATTTCTGGTGTACTTCAGCGGAATTGCCACAATAGTTTCTTGGTTTGTTTTTCCCCCTCTTTTATGTATGCTTTCGTGTCTTATATGCTATTTTTTGTACTCCGATTTTCCCCCTCCGAATTAATTTGGCGTAGCAGAACGGTGAGTGAATGTTAAATTATAAATTTGGCAGTTTTTCTTTTTTACGATCTAAACAACTCTAAATTTATCTAATTTAGGGTGATTCAAACGTGCATACAGCTTTGGCCAACTGCTGACTTTTAATTTATGTATGCAATTTGTTTGATAGTTTGATAGTTTGTAGCTGACCAACGCTGGCATTGCTTGTGAGGAACAGTTGCCGACTTTGGCGTCCCAATTTTAAAATACGAGTTCCTTAATCATGCTCTGTTTCTTAATGTTATCTTGGTGATGAAGCAGACTTTTAATTTACTGACGTCACGATGGGATTGGGGAGTCAGCCTCGTAAACAAAATTAAACAACATTCATTTGGCCAAATAGAATTTATTCATCATTATCGTTTTGGATTTACCAAACAAAACATGGAACTGTATCCACTTTGATCATACATTTCCAATAATGGAAGAACTGTATCCACTTTGATCATCATAGAACTTGGACCATAGCATCACACCACCATACTTTGGTGACTTCTTTATCACCGGAAGGACTTCAGAATTCAGCACCGTAGCCGGAATAAACCCGCTTCCGGCTGCCTCGGGAGCCGCAGGCAACCCCAAAAACATCAGCCCTGCCTTTATCGACGTGGTCCATTTGTTCCACGAGTTAATGAGGTTATCAGTGTTACCTGAGCTATATTGACATTGAGGATTGTTATAGAACTGAACCCAAACATAGTCAAAGAGCCCTGTATTCAGAGCACCCCCGAGAAACTTATCAGGAAATGGGCATTGAGGTGCTCCTGCTAAATACACAGCTCTTCTTGGCTTGCTATATGCCTTGAGTCTTCTTGCAAGCACATCCCAATACTGAGTTGAACCAAGCTCTATGTCAAAATCAATACCGTCCAATACCGCGTCTCCTAAGGGACGCGAAGTTGACTTCTTCCCACCTAAGAAATTGTGCCACAGATAATCTGCTACAGCTCTAGCATCTGCAGGTGATGCTAGAGAGTAGTTACCAATTCCACCTCCTATAGACAGCAACACCTTGACTCCTTGGCTTTGGCAACTTGTTATGCCACCGCTGACAATGGTGCAACCATTGGATGCAGGGTTGCAGTGGCCTGCAAGGTTGATTTCGGGGGTTTGGCCGTTGCCAAATTTGTTGAGGAAGGCTATATTCACGTACTTGTACTTGCCGGTGGCGCAGGTTTCGGCTAAAGTACCTTCGTTCCCGTTTTGGCCCCAGTAGACGGCGACGCCGCTGGCATGACAGAGCCTGATTAGAACCAGTTGTGCAGAAAGGACAAGGAGGAGAAGGGGAGTTTGGGAATTTCTAGCCATGCTTGCTAGAATAAGGCGTTGTATGCTTTCTCTTATTGTCAAGACTGATCAAGCCCTCCCTTTATAATAAGGTCTGAGGCTCCATTTGGATGGAGGGATTCCAAATTTATGGATTCAGTTGACATTAATGATAATTGTTTGTTTAGACAATTACAAGGCTGAGTGCCCACTAAAATGGTTTGCTTGGCATAATTAGTACCGTTGACCTATTCAAGACAAGATTAATGCTGGTCCAATATATCAATCCACTACCTCAGAGAAAATCGTAGTTTGAGCTGGAATAGGTTTACACGGAGCAAATTAGAGTGCTCACGAACTCAGTCAGAACTAGGGGTGGCAATTTCTTACACGACCTGTTACAGGACTCGAAATCCGCACGAAAAAAACATGACTCGAACCCGCACGATTAATAATTGGGTAATTTTCAGATCAACTCTTTTTGACCCGTTTATTAAACGGATGGGTTTCGGGTCAACCCGCCAACCCGTTAAAACACATGTGTAACCCGTTTATTAAATGGGTCGTGTCAACCCGTGTAAGACACGCCAACCCACAAAAAAATATAGAGAAATAGAGACTTCAAAACACACATATGGGGTTTCAAATCCCCACCATCCTCATTACTCTCCAACACCTTATTCACCATACTAAATACAACTTTGTGATTATGTACTATGCTTTTTGATATTTATAATATTTCTTTTTCTTTCTTTTCCGTCTATCTTCTCCTCTCTCTTTTTTAATTTCTTTTCCTTCTCTCTTTTCTCCTCTCTTTTTTTACTTCTCTTTAGTTTTCTCTCCTCTCTTTTTTATTTTTATTTATTTCCTTCTCTCTGCTCTCTCTCTCTCTTTCTCTTTTTTTTTCTTTTCCTTCTCTCTTCTCTCCTCTCTCTATCCTTTTTTTTTCTTTCTTTTCCTTATATTTTCTCTCCTCTCTCTGTGTTTTTTTATTTAAATTTTTTTAGTTGTGACTTTTGTAACATGCATGTTATTATTTATCAACATGTTACACGACTCGAAACCCGCACGATAAAAGACAACCCGAACCCGACACAACACGTTTATTAAATGAATTGGGTTCGGGTTGAGCATTCTTGACACATTTAATATCCCGACACGACCCGACCCATTGCCAGCCCTACAGAACTCTTCAACTTATTTGGAGCCAGAAATATATCGGATTGACTTTGCTTTGCAAAGAGGCGTGAAAGCATGGAAATAACGAACACCAGCGTAATTTAGTGAATATAAACCATATAAGATAATGATAATGGTATGAGTAATATTTTATTCGATTAAAAAATTATTACAGACAGTAAGATGTTTTATTGTCGTAAGTGCATGTAATTAACTCTGGCCAGTAGGTTGGGGAACTACTGATGAGTCATGGTAACTTATTTTGTTTTAGCAGCAGAAAGTGTCCAGGCAGAGACCTAGACGCTGTCTTTAATGGAAGCGCTGTAACCATTGTCATACTGTTTGCTCCAAAGCATAACTCCTCCATACTTTGGAGAACTCTTAATATTTGGAAGAACCTGTGACTTGAGAGCATCAGCAGGAATAAATCCACCACTAGGAGCAGCTTCAGGAGCTGCCGGTAGTCCCAAGAACACTTGTTTGGCTTCAGTCGACGTCCATTGGTTCCATGCACTTAAAAGGTTGGCAGCATTGTTGTCTGCAAATTGGCATGGAGGGTTGTTGTAGAATTGAACCCAGACATAGTCAAATAGGCCGGTTTTGATAGCACCGTCTAGGTGAGCATCTGGGAATGGACATTGTGGAGCTGCAGCTAAGTAGACCTTACTGGCGCGCCCACTGAGTGACCTGGCAAGCTCATCCCAGAACTGGCCACCACCAGCTTCAATGTCAAAATCAATGCCATCCAAAACAGCGTCACCAAGGGGGCGTGAACTGGCCTGACCGCCTAGGTAGTTATTCCAAAGGTAATCAGCAACTTGCCTTGCATCATCAGCTGAAGTGAGAGAGTAGCTTCCTGTAGCGCCTCCAATCGAGAGGAGGACTTTGATGTTCTTGGCTTGGCAAGCTTTGATGTCAGTGCTCAAACCGGTGCAGCCATTGGTACTTGGGTCACAGTGCCCAGCCAGGTTGAGCACTGGGGTTTGGCCGTTGCCAAAAGTTGTCAGGAAAGCTATGTTCACAAATTGGTAGTTGCCTGTGTTACAAGTATCTGCCAAGGTGCCTTCATTTCCGTTTTGGCCCCAATAGACGGCAATCCCACCAGCTTGGGACGACTTGCATAAAGAAATGATGATCAAGAGGGACAAAGATAGGGCTGAGGCTTGTGTTTTGCTTAGTGCCATGTTGAATGTCTGTTTGGGTTCTTGTTTTGGTTCAAAATGCTTGCAGAGGGTCATATTTATAGGTGAGTGGAAGGCTTTTGGGAAGAAAAGTATGACAGACGTGTCTTGTGAGCAACAAATTGGTGCCATGTGGGAAACTTAATAAAGTCATGTGGGAAACTTAATAAAGTCATGTGGAAAATATAAAAAAAATCTGGGGTCAATGAAATTCAGTCCAAGTTTCTTTTGACAATTCAAACAATGTTATGTCCCGTCAATCAAGCTAATGAAAATTGACAACCCAGCTGAGGGAGGGGTCATGTGGGGAAAGACAGAATTAAAAACAAAGGAATTATTGCAAGTTAGAGAGATAGATACATAGACTGTATGATCTTCTTCAGGATAGACGTCGCTGTAACCGTGTTAATGGGAGATTAAATTGCGTGGCTAACTGTAGGCAAAGCCTTCAAATTTGACAAAAATCTTGATGAATCGTCAAGCAAAGCTATATTGTAAATTTATGAGAGACAATCTAGAAGCAATACGTGGAGAATCAACACTGCCTTATCATCACACGTACGTTTGGACTGTCTGCTGTAATTAAATGGCGTATGCTATATCCCAAGGAGCATAAATTCCCAGCAACATCCAAGAAGTTGCCAAATTATCTGGCTGCTTTGCTGTACTTGGACTTTAAGCGGTGGGAGACCAAGGACTTTGACCTAATTACAATGCTAGCAGTCTCCTGGTGCTTCCACAACATTAAGAAAATAATTAAGAAAATAATTAAGAAAATCATCTGCAAGGAGGACCAAGTGTACACGTAATACGTTTCACCATAGCTCTAACTAGCTTTTATTTTTAATTATTTATTTTTCAGTCAATACAAACTGGCTTTAAAAATACTTGACAACTTTCCTTTGGCTTCTAGGCTTTAGGACAAAGGGAAATGTGGGGTCTGAAGGAGCTTATCTGATTGAAGGGTTTCAATTATGTGATCCTGCATGATTTGGATAGTGATTTTCTCTATTATGCGTTTCATTTTCTGTGGCACAATGGACACATACGTTTTAAGTTTTCAAGTTATGTCGGCCACTGGACTTTTAAGTTTTCAAGTGACTTTGATCGATGGATCAGATTTAGAACCAAAAAAGAACGAAGATAGATATATAGATACATACTAGTAAAGGTGCCCACGCGATGCCCACGCGATGCTGCGGATTTTAAAACCGTCTAAAATGTGTATAAAGTTATGAAAATATGTAGCAAGTTTAAGTTATAAAATAAATAACATGTTTTATATGTAGAAGGATTTTGACCTTGAGGACCATTTATGGACCCTAAACCCTTTGTTTTTTTCATTTTTAAGTTTTATGAATTTTAAATAATTTTTTAAAAACTCCATTAGTTGGTTGATGTGGCATATATGTGAAGCCCATATCTCCAATAATATAGTGTCACGTGTATTTAAAATACAAAATATATTTTTAAATAATGTTAAAAATAAAACCAAAATTTTATGAATTTTAAATTAAAAAATTTCGCAGGGACCATTTGTTATAGGCGCGTGAACCTCAAGAATGTTTTATGATATATATATATGTCACGTCAACAAACTAACAGAGTTTTTGACGGAACCTAACAACATGGACTATTTGTGATCACACATACTAACCTTGAGGACAACGAATGACACAACAAAAATGGTCTGTGATGTTAGAAACTCTGTTAAATTGCTGACATGAAAGGTAAGGGGGCTCCATATCTCCAATAATGTTGTGACACGTGGATAAGATAAAATATATATATATATTTAAACATTTTAAAATAAAAAAATCATTAAAAAATTAAGAAAAAAGTTGAAAATTCTTTTTGTTCTTTCCCATCCCCCATCTGCCCTCTCTCTCTACTTTACCCCTACTATTTTTCTCGCTCACCAACCCCATCCCCACCCGTAACCCATGCCACAGCTACATCCTGAACCCCCACCCGCAACCCGCAACCCTCTCCCACTATTTTTTCTCTCCCCCTATACTCTCCCTCTCTCCATATGACTTCCAAATTTTTATTGAAACCCATGATTTTCCTTGAGGAAGTGAAATAAATCCAAGTCAAATTATAAGATCTGTCAATGAAATTTGGATGGGTCAAATCGTACGTGTGAATTCATGAAGTAAAGAATGATTGAGCCGTGAGAGAGCTCCAATGAAGATCCAATTGGGGAGGCAGCACATACAAACCATCTTCTGGTTTTCAAGTTTGTTTTTTAAGAAATCCAATCATGGAGAGAGATGAGAGTTTGTAGGAGAAAAAAATGGTGAGAGGGAAGAGTTTTCCTTTTATGTAAGAACCAATAAGATTTTTTTTTTCTTTTAATGTGAATAAGAAAATGAGAAGATTTCCTTCATTACATTGTTCTTAATTTTATACATAAACATCACTTATAAAATAAGTATATTAAATGGGGCTTAACAATTGTAGTTGTTTGTACCATATCTGACCACCCACTCACGTCGTGACACGTTGAACGCCTCAAGCCAGAGACCAGCTCAATTGGGCCATACCAAATGTTCTCTCGGCACTCAATACCGATTCAGGGGGTCGATAACGCAGCATCACTACCTACGCCAACCTTCGGTATTGTCCACCGAGCGACCAACCATCACATCAATCCGATTCTGACAAATTACCTCAGAATTCCTGCCAGAGCCTATAAGAATCACGTGTCAACCTACGAAGACACTCCCACGAGTCCCACATCGAAACTAAGTGCTAAGAGCATCACAAATGCTCTCTATAAATAGAGCCCCTTGGCCCAGCCAAGTGGTAAGACTTTCTGACTTGATTAGTACTTCCACTGTCAATAGAATCGCTCTTAGTGACTAACTTTGGTATCGAAGTACCTTCGGCAGGTACCACACCGATATCCCCTCCTAAATTTGGATCCAGCCCCCGCTCGAACCTTCAGACATCACGGAAAAAGGTCACTCTGGTCCTAAATTTAGCTCCAACAGTAGTATTCTAATTGTCTAGAGCAAACATCAATTTATATTTATACACACCAAGATTAAACATACATTTAATTACATGAGACATAAACTCTCTCTCTCTCTCTCTCTCTCTATATTAATTAAAACATACATATAATTATAGTAATATACAATTTATAGGAAGTTATAAAAAAAAATTTTTAAAACCTTTGGCTTTTGTTGGGGCCGCCCGTCTCTCTCTATTTTCCTTTTTCTTTTTCCATCTTTTTACTCTTTCCATCTGTCTCCATCTATTCCTTTATCTCTTTTTTTAATTTTTACATTTATGTATTTTAGTAAAAGGAGGAGGGGCAAAAAGGGAAGATCAGAAAAGGTTAAGTGGAGGGCATTTTCGGCAATTCACTGCTGCTGAAGAGAAAACTAAACCAAAAACAACATTTAAAGTAGGGGTATTTCCGTCATTACACTGTGCTTAAGAACAGTGTAGGGGGTGATTGCCGTTTAGTATATATATAATATAATATAATGTTCTTCTGATTAACTTATTGTGATCAGCTTTTTGGTAAGAGAAAAAAAATTGATGAGAAAGATTTATGTAAATGATGATTCTCTGGAGTTTGGCTCTGTCCCCTGAAATGACGATGTCCAAAAGACGAGTTTTTTTTTTTGGTCTGGAATTCATGTTGTATTCAAAATAACCCAAAACAGGGAATAGAGATACAAACAGAAAGCAAAAGCCACGAAAAGCCATCAGAAACAAGAACAATTAACAATACAGGGCCAGACATAGCTAGATTCCATCGGAGTCTAGAACAACACTCCCTACCCAGCAAACTAGCTACTAAGAGACATTAACTAACAACAGATGCAGTAAGAGGTGGACAAGGCAGACCATCAGAAGTTAGAACCCCAAAAGACGAGTTATCACCTTTGCAACAGACTATAAAACAGAGAGAGGGAAAAATATGTATCAAACAATATTTATTAGAAGATATTCAAATTACAGTTCATATGTATCAAACTATCAATGAGAAGTTAAGAGTCCTCTGACCGATTGCAGCCGGCAAGGGTTCTCTACAATCACATACTGTTCTACCACTGCAGTCAACATTCACAGTCCTTCCTTTAGTTTCTATCAGAAACTTGAATGCTTTAAGGAAGTACCGAGTGTGGGGCAAAATCTTGATATTAGTGGTTGGAGGCTCACAAGTCACCAATAATCTCCACAAGAACATATACCATCCTTGAAGTGGTGGAACGGATTATTATCCCTGACAACAATTTCCCGTTTGGCTATTTTAGAGATGAGCTTAATAGCAATATGGCAATCTCCACAAACACGAAGATTCTTGGTAATTCTGATAGCCGTCCCGGGGTCTGTATTCAGAATGGCAAAGACAATTGCCAACTTCTCACTGTGAACTGCAAGATGGCATTCCTTCTCCTCCCCCTCGACATCATGAAGAGCCGAATCAGTCTCAGGAACATAACCTAACTCCTTCATTTTCCCTATCAAAACATCTAATTCTTCATATATCTCTCTGGACTCAGGATGTGATCTGTCACCAGCAAGAAAAGTGTGAACCTGGTCTTTGAGCTCAACATTGCTGACACCGGGTATTTTCTTGATTCCTCTGCTCTTCATTATTGATCGCACAGTTGTGACATCTTGCCATCTACCAGCTTTTGCATAAATGTTTGATAACAGGACATAATAGCCTGACTGCTCTGGAGCCAATTTGAAAAGGCGATCAGCGGCTAGAAGTCCAACATTCATGTTAGAGTATACCCGGCAAGCACTAAGCAGAGCACCCCACACTCTTTCATTAGGCTCCAGAGACATCTGTTTGACAAAACTATATGCCTCATCCACTCTCCCAGCACGCCCTAAAAGATCTACCATGCAAGCACAGTGTTCTAACCTAGGCTCTATCCTGCACACCTCGGTCATCAATTTAAAGTAATACTGCCCCTCTTCTAACAATCCAGCATGGCTGCAAGCCGCCATAACTGATACAAATGCAATTGAATCAGGACTCACTCCCGAGTCTTGCATTTTCTGAAAGAGTGCCACAGCATCATGACCTTGTCCACACCTGCCATATGCAGACATCATGGAAGTCCACGATACAACATCCTGAAATTTCATCGCATCAAACACTTCTCTTGCATCTTGTAAACATCCACACTTTGCATACATGTCAATCAATGCATTCTCCAATAACAAATTTGGCCTAAGTCTCTTTCTCTCAACATATTCATGAATTCGCTTCCCTAACAACAGAGCTGAAAGATCCCCAGAGGCAGGAAGAACGCTGGCGATTGTGACTGCATCAGGTTCTATCCCACTCACCTCCAACTGTAAGAAAAGATCAACTGCTTCACCAGGCATTGAATTATTCACATACACTGCTATCATCACATTCCACGAAACCAAACTCTTTTTAGCCAATTTCATAAACGTCTCCTTAACATACAAAACATTGTCAGCTGAAGTATTAGTCACAGCCGGGAATAGGCTAGCCATGGTGCCAGCATCTGGTTTAAGCTTGAATGCCTCCATTTCCCTACAAACTTCTAATGCATCATTAAACCGTCCATTTTGCGCAGATAGAGGATCAATTTCAGAAGTTCCGGGCAATTCAACAACATGATGACACATCGGTGGGTATGTGGTCAAAGCCAGTAGTCAAACGTTAGACAAAGATTGTTTGCACAATTGGTCCTTCCACAAACACACGTGAAATTATCTGGAAGTTGGCGGAGGCTGGAATGAATGTTGCCCGACTTAATATGTCCCACGGAGATCATGCTTCTCATAAGAAAGTTATTGACTTGGTTAAAGAATGTAATGAGCAATCTAATAAAGACAATGTTATTGCAATCATGCTTGATACCAAGGTAAGGTTTCCCTTATTGTTTGTTCTCTTTCCTTCCGTATCAAGTCATTACATTGTATTGCGTAAGTCAGTAAATTTTCCCCCCAATTCAGGTTTGATTTGACATATGATGTGTTACTATTTGGATTATTTCGGAGTCATTCTATTGATGATGTGTTCTTCTGTATCAGGGTCCTGAGGTTAGGAGTGGTGACCTGCCACAGCCAATCAACTTGGAAAGTGGTCAAGAATTTACTTTTACAATTCGTAGAGGGGTTGGCACAGCGGATTGTGTTAGCGTGAACTATGATGATTTCGTTAATGATGTAGAACCAGGAGACATGCTTCTGGTTGATGGTATGCTGAAGTTTTACTTCTTCTTTTTTGGGTTAACCGCTGAAGTTATGTTTATATTTTTATGCACACCGACTCTTGATTTGTGCTGTAGGTGGTATGATGTCATTTCTGGTGAAGTCCAAGACAGAAGAATCAGTGAAATGTGAAGTTGTTGATGGAGGAGAGCTTAAGTCTCGTCGACATTTGAATGTGCGAGGGAAAAGTGCAACATTGCCTTCCATCACTGGTTAGGTTCCTAATTTATTGATTATATCCATTAATAGTTTATTCATATGTTTTTTAAAATGTCTTTATTGCCTGTTTTGCTAATGAATATAGTTGTCTAACTTATTTGTTGCAGAGAAAGACTGGGAAGATATTAAATTTGGAGTGGATAATAAAGTTGACTTCTATGCTGTTTCTTTTGTCAAAGATGCACAAGTTGTTCATGAATTGAAGAATTATCTGCAAAGTAAGATTCCAAATACTGTTATCTTATGTCCACAAAATATATTTGATTACCATGTTTTTGCTTAATGCTTACAAATAATTGTATTTCGATTTGATATTGCAGGCTCTGGCGCTGATATACACGTTATTGTAAAGATAGAAAGTGCAGACTCTATCCCAAATTTGCACTCCATTATCACAGCATCCGATGGGGTAATCTCCTGAATCAATGAATGGAAGCTTTTTCCCTGAATATTTTCATGTTAAAAACACTTTTAGTATATCATGATTTAATGTATGATAATTTTTACCTTTTAATATAAGATGCAACTAATATATGGAAATCATGTAAATACCATCCGTTTCTTTTAATATATACATAAAACATTCTAACCCTTGCCTGAGAATATTAACACATGGTTATCTTCTTTTAGGCTATGGTTGCAAGAGGAGATCTTGGTGCAGAGCTCCCTATTGAAGAGGTTCCACTTCTGCAGGTTGTTAACGACAAACATATGACAATTGAAATTTCAATCCAGTTAACATGATTGTAACATTAAGTTGAGTTAATCTATTACATTCTGAACCCCCCAATTTATATTTCAAAATGTAGGAAGAGATAATCAGGATCTGCCGTAGCATGGGGAAGGCTGTTATTGTGGCAACAAATATGCTGGAAAGCATGATTGTTCACCCAACACCAACCAGAGCTGAGGTATCAGACATTGCCATTGCTGTTAGAGAGGGTGCTGATGCAGTTATGCTTTCAGGAGAAACTGCTCACGGAAAGTAAGTTGTGGCTATTGGAATTATGCAATAGGAACCTGTTTTCAACTATAGTCTAGTCATTTAGACCATAGGATCATGTAATAAAGTGATTTCGTTTCCATGTAGGTTCCCATTGAAGGCCGTGAAAGTTATGCACACTGTTGCACTTCGGACAGAGGCAACCATCTTAGGTGGTGAATTGCCAGCCAATCTTGGTAAAGCTTTCAAGGTCAGGGAACATACAATTATTTATTCATTTTTTGTACGCAGCATCCTACCATCTGGATAAATTTTTCCATTTGTTTGTCAGAATAAAAACTGACGTGAATTCTTTATTTCTGCAGAACCACATGAGTGAGATGTTTGCTTACCATGCAACCATTATGTCCAATACTCTTGGTACCTCAATTGTTGTCTTTACCAGAACTGGTTTCATGGCTGTTCTTTTGAGCCATTATCGGCCTTCTGGGACCGTATTTGCCTTTACAAATGAGTGAGTTTTCATGTTATTTGTCATGAAGGCATATTTGTGATACTCTGACCAGAGTTTTGTTGGAGTACAACTTCACCCTTGATAATTTTTACCCCCCCCCTGCATGCACATTGATATATTAAATATTTTAAAATTTGTAACTGTATCAGTTAAAATACTCTTTACCATTAGGAATATGAATTTGATTATTTGGCTGATCTAGTAGTTTGATGACATGCAGTAAGAGGATACAACAGAGACTGGCTTTATATCAAGGTGTATGTCCCATATACATGGAGTTCACAGATGATGCTGAGACAAGTTTCAGCAATGCCTTGACTGTGCTGCAGGTAATGCTTTTCTGGAATTTGCCTAAATTTACGAGGAATAATTTAAATTGGCAGGAACCATATTTTTGGTTATTTATCTTTAAAAAATTTCATGGAACATACCAGTCAATGGTTTGGATTTGGGCCAACCTAGCAATGCCAACCATTTTAAAGCCCTAGTCAAATGGATTTAATGTTAATTATTTGATCGTTTCAACTTTGTTGATGTATTTTCTGGTGTTTCATATACAGAAGCAAGGCATGGTAAAGGAAGGAGAAGAGGTGGCACTCGTTCAGAGTGGCAGACAACCCATTTGGCGGATCCAGTCCACTCACAATATTCAAGTGCGCAAAGTTTAGATGCAATGGAGAAGGAAGAGAGCCCTCGTAACTTAGTTATCTGCCTTTACACCACGATAATTTCGAGTCATTATAACATTTCTGGTGTACTTCAGCGGAATTGCCACAATAGTTTCTTGGTTTGTTTTTCCCCCTCTTTTATGTATGCTTTCTTGTCTTATATGCTATTTTTTGTACTCCGATTTTCCCCCTCCGAATTAATTTGGCGTAGCAGAACGGTGAGTGAATGTTAAATTATAAATTTGGCAGTTTTTCTTTTTACGATCTAAACAACTCTAAATTTATCTAATTTAGGGTGATTCAAACTTGAGTGCATACAGCTTTGGCCAACTGCTGACTTTTAATTTATGTATGCAATTTGTTTGATAGTTTGATTGAGAAAACGGATCACCTTATAATATCCGTCGCCAACCGTTTTCGTAGCTGACCAACGCTGGCATTGCTTGTGAGGAACAGTTGCCGACTTTGGCGTCCCAATTTTAAAATAGGGCTTGTCCAATATAGATCCATACATTTTCTATTTCCTAGACATATACCCATCACTCTATAAATCTATGTGTAAAACCCAATTTCAAATTTAAATGACTAGTAGAATATAAGAGGTCGTAGTATTTCTATGTTTTTACATCGTTGCCTCTAAACTTCATATTTTATTTATAATTTATTTCAAGCATTTCATTAACTGTCATAATTGTAATTAATATACTCCCTATTAATAGCATATCAATCACCCCATTTCTTATAGTTGTCATTCCCTCTCACATCTCGCCCCCTAAAATTGCAAACAAAAAAAAATCTGTAAATTACATATCCAATAATGTACTTATGAAAATTATAATATAAATATATACATATAAAATATAGGTATCCAATAATGTACCTATGAAAAATAGGTACATTATTAGAGGAAAAAAATAGGTAAGTTATTTGGAGAGAGAAAATAGGTTCATTTTAAAAAATTACTTTTAATAAAACAAATAATAGGTACTTTATTCAGAGAAAAAGGCTATATTATTTATAGAAAAAAAATAAATTACATTATTTAGATAAAAAAAATAGGAACATTATTTAGATAAATAATAGGTACTTTATTCATAGTAGGTATATTATTCAAATGGTAGGTACATTGGATGACATATAATACCTAAATCCTAATTGTAAGTACATTAAAATTAATGTAGGTATGTTGGATGTCGTATAATGTAGGTATATTGGAATAGATAATTATGTACACTTTTCATACTAGGTAAATTATATTTTTCATAAAACAAACAAGTAATAGGTACATTATTTTTTCAACATAATTAGTATGTATAGTTTTATTCATAAACAATTATAAAGTGGATTATTAGTCATGTATAATTCATAAAAAGAAAATAACATAAACATTTTATTAAACAAACCGATTACCCAAATTTGAATTTATTGTTAAATTTTTTTTTAAAATGTTTCAAAATTAATTCATACAACCATTACAACCATTTGGAGATCTTTCCAAATTCAACATCTGTCATTATATAAAATCCAATTAAAAACTGTTTCCATATTGATTCCTACATTAATATACAAAATGCAATAATGGCTTAGTTGGGGGTATTTTTGGAATCTAAAAAGTACAATAAATCAGATTTTATGCTTAATTAGGTAACTTGCTGAGTTGAATCCTAGTCATGGGTTTTTACTTATACAAATTGGGTATTATTTATAGGAACAAAAAGTGAAGGGTTTTAGGTACAGCAAATTGAATTTGAAGGGTGTAAGCCAAATTTACTATTTAAAATACGAGTTCCATAATCATGCTATGTTTCTTAATGTTATCTTGGTGATGAAGCAGACTTTTAATTTACTGACGTCACGATGGGATGGGGGAGTCAGCCTCGTAAACAAAATTAAACAACATTCATTTGGCCAAATAGAATTTATTCATTATTATCGTTTTGGATTTACCAAACAAAGCATGGAACGACAAAGTCATACATTTTCAATAATGGAAGAACTGTATCCACTTTGATCATCATAGAACTTGGACCATAGCATCACACCACCATACTTTGGTGACTTCTTTATCACCGGAAGGACTTCAGAATTCAGCACCGTAGCTGGAATAAACCCGCTTCCGGCTGCCTCGGGAGCCGCAGGCAACCCCAAAAATATCAGCCCTGCCTTTGTCGACGTGGTCCATTTGTTCCACGAGTTAATGAGGTTATCAGTGTTACCTGAGCTATATTGACATTGAGGATTGTTATAGAACTGAACCCAAACATAGTCAAAGAGCCCTGTATTCAGAGCACCCCCGAGAAACTTATCAGGAAATGGGCATTGAGGTGCTCCTGCTAAATACACAGCTCTTCTTGGCTTGCTATATGCCTTGAGGCTTCTTGCGAGCACATCCCAATACTGAGTTGAACCAAACTCTATGTCAAAATCAATACCGTCCAATACCGCGTCTCCTAAGGGACGCGAAGTTGACTTCTTCCCACCTAAGAAATTGTGCCACAGATAATCTGCTACAGCTCTAGCATCTGCAGGTGATGCTAGAGAGTAGTTACCAGTTCCACCTCCTAAAGACAGCAACACCTTGACTCCTTGGCTTTGGCAACTTGTTATGCCACCACTGACAATGGTGCAACCATTGGATGCAGGGTTGCAGTGGCCTGCAAGGTTGATTTCGGGGGTTTGGCCGTTGCCAAATTTGTTGAGGAAGGCTATATTCACGTACTTGTACTTTCCGGTGGCGCAGGTTTCGGCTAGAGTACCTTCGTTCCCGTTTTGGCCCCAGTAGACAGCGACGCCGCTAGCATGACAGAGCCTGATTAGAACCAGTTGTGCAGAAAGGACAAGGAGGAGAAGTGGAGTTTGGGAATATCTAGCCATGCTTGCTAGAATAAGGCGTTGTAAGCTTTCTCTTATTGTCAAGACTGATCAAGCCCTTCCTTTATAATAAGGTCTAAGGCTCCATTTGGATGGAGGGATTCCAAATTTAAGGATTCAGTTGACATTAATGATAATTGTTTGTTTAGACAATTATAAGGTGAGAGTGCTGCTATTTCCACTCACCTGTTCTATTTTCCCACCTACCTTATTTTCAAAATTTTAAGACAAATTTACTCCTTTGTAAAACTACTTCTAAGGACAAGAGGACACATTTTCACACACAATAAAACACAGTTTAAACACCTTTAGATTCATCTACTATCAACGGTTTAGATTATCGACTTATAAAATAATAATTAGTATTATTTTTGTCTCTTGTTCGACCTTTTTTTTTGGAAAATAAATTGCTCTCCCCTAGAATCGTACTTTCTCTCTCCACTCTCTCGTTATCTTCTCTAACTCAAAAGCCGAAAGAGGAGAACTTTCTAACCCACCAGAGCATGTCTAAACTAAAATAAAAAAAGAATTCACATAAGACTTCTTCCAACAGGATCATGCTGCCAATGATATATGTCATTGGGTTGGGGCTATCCCGCAAACATTGAACACAGCTTTAATGGTGCGTGCTCTGTTACATCCTTCTGGGTTAGGAAAAATTTATTCTCTTACATGTTTATAATTTTCTCTCTCCTGGCACATCCTGGTGGTGGTATGGCTTTTCCATTTATCCTGGCGCATTCAATTTCTTGCTCAAGAAAGAATTTTAACGACATTAATTCCCCCTTTTTTATTTTTTATTTTCCTCTCATCCTTATTATTAAAATCAGAGCAGTTTAATGTTCACGATGATATTATTAAAGAAACAAAAATTTATAAGTGAAGTTTTAATCTCAGCTATTGAATTGAATGAATGTTAATCTAATGGTTAAAAAAAGTGTCATAATAGATACACAATGATATTTAATTTGCTTGAATTAATAACTAAAAGGTATTTTAGGGATAATGGTGGGTAGAAAGATAGAATTGTGTTTTTTCAAATTTAGATGGAGGGTGAGAATATAATATGAGTGGAAAATAGAACAAGAGGGTGAAAATAGCAGCACTCTTACAAGGTTGAGTGCCCATAAAATGGTTTGCTTGACATAATTAGTACCGTTGACCTATTTAAGACAAGATTAATGCTGGTCCAATATATATATCAATCCACTACCTCAGAGAAAATCGTAGTTTGAGCTGGAATAGGTTTACACGGAGCAAATTGGAGTGCTCACGAACTCAGTCATAACTCTTCAACTTATTTGGAGCCAGAAATATATCGGATTGACTTTGCTTTGCAAAGAGGCGTGAAAGCATGGAAATACCAAACAACAGCGTAATTTAGTGAACATAAACTATATAAGATAATGATAAGGGTATGAGTAATATTTTCGATTAAAAAATTAACAGAGACAGTATGATGTTTTATTATCGTAAGTACATGTAATTAACTCTGGCCAGTAGGTTGAGGAAAACCTACTGATGAGTGATGGTAACTTATTTTGTTTTAGCAGCAGAAAGTGTCTAGGCAGAGACCTAGACGCTGTCTTTAATGGAATCGCTGTAACCATTGTCATACTGTTTGCTCCAAAGCATAACTCCTCCATACTTTGGAGAACTCTTAATATTTGGAAGAACCTGTGACTTGAGAGCATCAGCAGGAATAAATCCACCACTAGGAGCAGCTTCAGGAGCTGCCGGTAGTCCCAAGAACACTTGTTTGGCTTCAGTCGACGTCCATTGGTTCCATGCACTTAAAAGGTTGGCAGCATTGTTGTCTGCAAATTGGCATGGAGGGTTGTTGTAGAATTGAACCCAGACATAGTCAAATAGCCCGGTTTTGATAGCACCGTCTAGGTGAGCATCTGGGAATGGACATTGTGGAGCTGCAGCTAAGTAGACCTTACTGGCGCGCCCACTGAGTGACCTGGCAAGCTCATCCCAGAACTGGCCACCACCAGCTTCAATGTCAAAATCAATGCCATCCAAAACCGCGTCACCAAGGGGGCGTGAATTGGCCTGACCGCCTAGGAAGTTATTCCAAAGGTAATCAGCAACTTGCCTTGCATCATCAGCTGAAGTGAGAGAGTAGCTTCCTGCACCGCCTCCAATCGAGAGGAGGACTTTGATGTTCTTGGCTTGGCAAGCTTTGATGTCGGTGCTCAAACTGGTGCAGCCATTGGTACTTGGGTCACAGTGCGCAGCCAGGTTTAGCACTGGGGTTTGGCCGTTGCCAAAAGTTGATAGGAAAGCAATGTTCACAAATTGGTAGTTGCCTGTGTTACAAGTATCTGCCAAGGAGCCTTCATTGCTGGGGCTGCCTTGGCCCCAATAGATGGCAATCCCACCAGCTTGGGACGACTTGCATAAAGAAATGATGATCAAGAGGGACAAAGATAGGGTTGAGGCTTGTGTTTTGCTTAGTGCCATGTTGAATGTCTGTTTGGGTTCTTGTTTTGGTTCAAAATGCTTGCAGAGGGTACATATTTATAGGTGAGGGGAAGGCTTTAGGGAAGAAAAGTATGACAGACGTGTCTTGTGGGCAACAAATTGGTGCCATTCTTCTGTGGGAAACTTATTAAAGTTATGCGGAAAATATAAACCAAATCCCGTCAATCAAGCTAATGAAAATTGACAACCAGCTGAGGTAGGGGTCTTGTGGGGAAAGATAGAATTAAAAACGAAGGAATTATTACACGTTAGATAGATAGATGCATGTACGATTTTCTTCAGGATATAAGTCAATGTAGCCGTGTTAATGGGAGATTAATTGCGTGGCTAACTGTAGGAAAACCTCAAAGCCTTCAAATTTGACGAAAATCTGATGAAAGCAAAGCTATATAGTCAGGTAAATTTATAAGAGACAATCTAGAAGCAATGCGTGGAGAATCAACACTGCCTTATCAACACATGTACGTTTGGACTGTCTGCTGTAACTAAATGGCATACGCTATATCCCAAGGAGCATAAATTCCAAGCACCATCCAAGAAGTTGCCAAATTATCTGGCTGCTTTGCTGTATAGCTGTGTATATCTTGGACTTTAAGCGGTGGGAGACCAAGGACTTTGACCTAATTACATTGCTAGCAGTCTCCTGGTGCTTCCACAACATTAAGAAAATAATTAAGAAAATCATCTGCAAGGAGGACCAAGTGTACATGTAATCCGTTTCACCATAGCTCTAATGTTCTTCTGATTAACTTATTGTGATCAGCTTTTTGGTAAGAGAACAAAATAAAAATATATTTAGTCATATATTCATTCTTATAAATCCTACATCATTTAATTTCTAAAAACAAACCTTTAAAAAAATCCATAAATGACAACTGGGCTATTGAATGTTTTGGGTATTTTTATAAGGTTTTAGGGTTGGATTTGTTTTAAGAAATCAATGACAGTTTTGTAATTTAAAAGAAGTTAAAAGTCTTTATTATGTTGTAAATGGGCTTTAGGTGTGTTTCTAAAGTCAATTTCCTATAAGATTTTTTTATATAATTTAGGCTCCTATATTGGGTATAATAGTGAATCTCCCCCAAACAAAAATTTAAAATTGATGAGAAAGATTATGTAAATGATGGAGTTTGGCTCTGTCCCCTGAAATGACTATGTCCAAAAGATGAGGTTCTTTTTTTGGGTCTGGAATTCATGTTGTATTCCAAATAACCCAAAACAGGGAATAGAGATACAAACAGAAAGCAAAAGCCACGAAGAGCCATCAGAAACAAGAACAATTAACAATACATGGCCAGACATAGCTAGAGTCCATCGGAGTCTAGAACAACAGTCCCTACCCAGCAAACTAGCTACCAAGAGACATTAACTAACAACAGATGTAGCAAGAGGGGAACAAGGCAGACCATCAGAAGTTAGAAGCCCAAAAGAGTTATCACCTTTGCAACAGACCATCAAACACAGAGAGGGAAAAATATGTATCAAACAATATTTATTAGAAGATATTCAAATTACAATTCATATGTATCAAACTATCAATGAGAAGATATTAGAGTCCTCTGACCGATTGCAGTCGGTAAGGGTTCTCTACAATCACATAATGTTCGACCATTGCAGTCAACATTCACAGTCCTTCCTTTAGTTTCTATCAGAAACTTGAATGCTTTAAGAAGTACCAAGTGTGGGACAAAATCTTGATATTAGTGGTGGACGCTCACAAGTCACCAATAATCTCCACAAGAACATATACCATCCTTGAAGTGGTGGAACCGATTAGTATCCCTGACAACAATTTCCCGTTTGGCTATTTTAGAGATGAGCTTAATAGCAATATGGCAATCTCCACAAACACGAAGATTCTTGGTAATTCTGATAGCCGTCCCGGGGTCAGTATTCAGAATGGCAAAGACAATTGCCAACTTCTCACTGTGAACTGCAAGATGGCATTCCTTCTCCTCCTCCTCAACATCATGAAGAGCCGAATCAGTCTCAGGAACATAACCTAACTCCTTCATTTTCCCTACCAAAACATCTAATTCTTCATATATCTCTCTAGACTCAGGATGTGATCTGTCACCAGCAAGAAAAGTGTGAACCTGGTCTTTGAGCTCAACATTGCTGACACCGGGTATTTTCTTGATTCCTCTGCTCTTCATTATTGATCGCACAGTTGTGACATCTTGCCATCTACCAGCTTTTGCATAAATGTTTGATAACAGGACATAATAGCCTGACTGCTCTGGAGCCAATTTGAAAAGGCGATCAGCGGCTAGAAGTCCAACATTCATGTTAGAGTATACCCGGCAAGCACTAAGCAGAGCACCCCACACTCTTTCATTAGGCTCCAGAGACATCTGTTTGACAAAACTATATGCCTCATCCACTCTCCCAGCACGCCCTAAAAGATCTACCATGCAAGCACAGTGTTCTAACCTAGGCTCTATCCTGCACACCTCGGTCATCAATTTAAAGTAATACTGCCCCTCTTCTAACAATCCAGCATGGCTGCAAGCCGCCATAACTGATACAAATGCAATTGAATCAGGACTCACTCCCGAGTCTTGCATTTTCTGAAAGAGTGCCACAGCATCATGACCTTGTCCACACCTGCCATATGCAGACATCATGGAAGTCCACGATACAACATCCTGAAATTTCATCGCATCAAACACTTCTCTTGCATCTTGTAAACATCCACACTTTGCATACATGTCAATCAATGCATTCTCCAATAACAAATTTGGCCTAAGTCTCTTTCTCTCAACATATTCATGAATTCGCTTCCCTAACAACAGAGCTGAAAGATCCCCAGAGGCAGGAAGAACGCTGGCGATTGTGACTGCATCAGGTTCTATCCCACTCACCTCCAACTGTAAGAAAAGATCAACTGCTTCACCAGGCATTGAATTATTCACATACACTGCTATCATCACATTCCACGAAACCAAACTCTTTTTAGTCAATTTCATAAACATCTCCTTGACATACAAAACATTGTCAGCTGAAGTATTAGTCACAGCAGGGAATAGGCTAGCCATGGTGCCAGCATCTGGTTTAAGCTTGAATGCCTCCATTTCCCTACAAACTTCTAATGCATCATTAAACCGTCCATTTTGCGCATACCCAGCAACCATAGAATTACAAGAAACCACATCTCTGCAAGGCATCTGATCAAGAAAGCTCCGAGCTTCCACTAAACAACGGCATTTTCCATACATAGCAATCAGACCATTTCCAATAAACAAATTCATGTCAAGGCCAACTTTCACAACAGCGCCATGAATTTGCAACCCGACCCACAAATTATCTGACCCAGAACATGCCTTTAGGACACAAGGGTATGTATAATTATCAGGGTCAAAACCATTGTGAGACATAGTTTTGTAAACAAGAAGAGCATCTTGGTACAAATGGTTGTTTACATAGCTCCTGATCATGACATTAAAGAAGACGACATTCTTCTCAGGAATTCTATCGAATAGGTGGCGTGTGATTCTTGGTTCTCCGCAGGCAGCATAAGCTCTCATGAGTTTGATCCCTAGTGATGCGTCCGAGCGGAGACGTTGATTGACAACGATGCTTGAATGGAGTTCCTTCAACGTTCTGATATCTGGGTCTTGGTCCAATATTTTACCAAACACTTGAGCTGCAAGAGCGGGGTCCCGAGGGGCAGGTTCGGCTTTTCTGATCGATGATGTCAAGGCTTGTAGTTGTTTGGCAGTTGAGAATTGGCGGGAAATGGGAGTGACGACTTTCATGAATTGGAGTGTGGTGTTTGTGAAAATGGGTTTAGTTTAGACTCGCATGTTGAAGAGTCTGTCTGAACCCCTCCCCCAACAGAGAGGAACACTAGGCAGAAAAAAAAAATTCACATATTTTTTATTAATTTTTATGCAGTTCAAATTCAGAAATGTATAGAGCTGAGCAAATGAAATATGCGCTCAGTGATAACCAACGGCACTTTCATCTTGCATGTCGCTAAAAGAATAAAAGAACCATTTTACAGAAAATTGGTAATAAAATTAGAGTTAGAAAGAAAAGTTGCACTTCAATGAACTGGTTAAGTTGAGCGGCTTTTGGTTAGACTCTGCATATATATGCTTCCAGTGTATATTTGGCAAATGCTCGGAGGAGAATTCACATCATTGCATTGCAGCTCCATTTCACTGGTCATCCTGAAACAATGCTTTAGAAACAGAACCACCGCATGACTCATTACCATAGTCTTTATCATCAAAGCAGCTGCCCCGTTGGCATGAACGTTTGTTTCCTGACATTGGGGTTTCACATACTCTGTCATCACAGGAACCTCTATGGTCCTTCCTTTTAAACCGCTTTCGATGAGGATTTGACTTTGGTTTCGATGCCTTCGGCTGTTTTGGGGCCCAAATTCTCTGCAAATCAGGCACCCCTCTCGTAAAAGAAGCAAATCTCCGAGCTCTCTCTCTCCTCTCTTGGGCTTCAATTAACTTGTGAGCATGCTCCTTTTGTTTAATCTCTAGGGCACTGGGTCTTGCATTATCAATTTTCAGCGGACGAAGGGGCTCATCTTCTGCTGATACTGATTCCTTGATTCCATTATTTTCATCCACTTCATCTCTCTCTGGTTTTTCTCTGTAGGATTGATTGCTATCCTCACTGTTGAGTAAATTATTGGGGGGTTCCTCATCAGCAAACAGCAACAAATCCATTTTTGTATAGATTCTGTGAACCACATCTTCAAGTGTCTCACAGTACCTGAAAATTTGGGAATTCAAAGATTAGTCCATCCACTTAACCTTCCTTCTTCAAACACAAATGCAGCGCCTGCACATGTACTTGTGGAAAACTAATGACAGAGGAATGGATTATGTAAGTTCCATCACCTCAACGATCATACTGTAGACTAATATGTTATTCCAAAAGCTGTATACGTATTCCACACTCATTCAGAGAAACATAGGTAAGATGTGCATAACTGGCCTATATCTTACAAATCTACACTAACAAGGAAATACACTTAATTCATCTAGAATAATAAAGAAAGCTTCTTTCCTTAAATCTTGCATAATTGCACAGGTACATAAGACAGCATTTGTTAGATGAGTAATAATATCCCACAGGAAAGTGGAACAGCGGCACCGGAAATGTGTATTTGTTGAGATATGAACAATAGATTGGATGTAGCGTGCTCTGGCCTTTAAGACAAAGCCATGAAGTCTCAAAAAAGCATTCATCCACTATTGAGTTTTCAACATCCATTATAGAAGGTAAAGATTACAATTCATGGTTAGCAGTTTTCAACTCTGGCACAAACTCATTACCTGCTTTTTATGATATTTTCAACGTAATCATCTATGCTCCAGTTACCAAAGAAGCCTCCATCCAGATGACACCGAATTTTCTCCAAAAATGAGCAAATATGTTTTACAAACTTCTGTTTCATAGACTCTGCAATACTTGCACCAACCTCTGACTGTAGTATCTCCATCCGGAAAAATATCTGCAATTCATATCTAGTACGCGTGAAGGAAAAGTGAACATAAGCGGAGACAAATTTTCACAAAGGTTGAGATATAACTGGATTAATGCATAATACAAAAATTAGTTAAGTGATAAATAAGAAAGGATACTCTCGAACCATTTTTTCTGAAGTAAGTCCTTCAGATTCTGAACCAGATGCTTTAAAAGATAGACCACTGCTTTTGTGCCTTGCATTGATATCCTTGGGATCTCTCAGTAAAAGTTTTAACACCTCAGCAGCAACCAAATCATCAGTATCACCAGATTTTACAAGAGGAGTTTGACTCTCTGAAAGGGGTTCTTTGTCACGCTTTTGCTTTAACCAAAATATGGATGAATTCACAAGCCGATATGCCAAAGTCCCCAAGTCCACTGCTTCATATTCAAGTCCTTGTTGGATCTTATTGGATAGATTACTGAAAAAGTCTTCCAAGGTTTCTGATCTAAATTCCAGAGCAGCTTCATCCTGTATTCCAGAAGCCACAGTTAAAGAATTTTCTCCAACTGAAGCAGATGAAGGAACTGGCTGTTCACTTTCTTGGTGCAAGTTATCCAACCTATTGTCCATCTCTTTTTTATTGGGCTGGAATGTCTGGGATTCTTTCTCCATTATGAGGCTAGACTTTTTCATCTGTTTCATCCAGCATTTCAGAAATCTCATCTTTTTTGAGTTATTACATTCCCTGAAAAAGTAAACCTCTTCCAAACCTAGCTCTGTGTGTTCAAATGCTGCCTTACAGAAGGCACTCCATGTGAGGTCTTGTAGCAAATTTGATTTCCTTTTGTTATTCCGCTTCCTTCCATCCTTGCCTGCAGAATGCTTATTAGATGGTGAAGGCTCAGTTTGATTCAAATCAGCATTCGGTTTGCAAATCTTATTGTTCATCTTTGGACTTAATTGGTCCACATTTCCTCCACCATTATCATACACTTTTTCCTGAGGGTGAAATCCTTCATCCACAATAAACAGCAGAGCCGAAGAAACCGTGAATGGCTTAAGGATTCCTGTATATGATACACCACTGTCATTTGAAAGAGACACTAATGCCCCCTGACCATACCTATATAAGAAACTCAAGAGAATCTCCCAAATCGGTGCCGATTTTCTCTGCGCAATCTCACCCAAGTCCATTTGTAGCATCTCAAGAACCTTATCTGCAAAAAGATTGACAGAACTTTCTTTTCCATCTTTACCAGGTATTTCCGAAACTTCACTTACAAGAAGAGGATCAGATAAGTGCCCCTTGAATTTCAAAAACTCATTGTACTTTTGCAAAGCCTTAACCTGGAATTTTGTCACACCACTGCCAAAATTTTCCCAGAACATTTTCTTCAGTTCATCACCTCTTGGTTGTGAATTCATGATTTCCAGGGAAAAGAAAACATCGTCTGCTGTATTTCTAGGAAACATCTTCAAATCAACCAATTTAAGATCACAAAACTTGCATTCCAAAGGCTTCCCGATAACATCTAATATCTCGAGACTCAAATGCGTGTAGACTTTCTTATGACAATCATTACAACCAAAAAACTTCGGTGAAATCCCAATCTCTGGATAAATCAATCCAAAAGGAACAAGAGCAGAACCAAGAACAATTGAATCGGTCGAACAAAATCCCCATCCCAAACTCCTAATCCCACTCTTGAGAAACCCAAATCGCATCCTATCCTCATCATCCCCAACCTTATCCTGACCACATTCTAATTTGTACCTGACATCAACCCAACCACATTGAATATCTCGACTGACAAATGCATTATTTACATTCTCAAATAAACCGCGAAATCTCTTGCAAAACACATTCACATTTTCCAAAGACTCATCATCCACTCCCACATTCAGGAATTCTGACAAACAGTTTACAGACATACAAAGGGGCGAAAACAGAACAACTAGATTAGACCTTACAGCAACAGAATCACAATTTGAAAACATACCCGTGGCTGAATCACAGATCACGGGGTCCCAGGCATAGTCATGCACGAGCTGGCGCAAGGAGGCGGCGAGGCACGAAGCCCAGGGCGTAGAGGAATTAGGCAATGATGGGTCTTGGTGAAATGCGGGGAGGGAATTGAGGGCTTGGGAGAGGAAAACTAAAGTGTGGGTAGGGAGATGAAAAGAGAGGGAGAGAGAAGTGGGGAGTTTGGAGGAGGAGAGCAGTGGAGAGAGAGATGAAAAGAAGAGTCTGAAGGCAAAGAGAGAAGAGGAGAGTGGAGGGAAGGAGAGAAGGGTTTTAATGGAGGAGAGGAGAGAGGTCAGAAATGGAGTTGGGTCTTGGAGATCGAGCAGTGGGTTTAGGTCTACGAGGAGCACTATGCGCTGCGTTTGGCTGTAGTCGGTGATTGGGTCACCGGAGTTTGGATCAGATGCCATCGTATTTTTCTTTTGACACACGGAGAAAGAGACAGACTTTGGCTACAGAGAAGAAGTGGGGTGAAAATGAGGAATTAAGGGAGAGGCGGAAGCAAAAATACGACGTCGTTGCCAGGAGAAAAACGACGGCGCAGAAGACGCTTGGGCGGGAAACCAAAATTTGGCGGCAAGGAATGTTCCTGATCTGATTTAAAGTGAAGTGAGGCCCATAAGGCCCAAGGTACTGTACGATACTGTAGCCCACTTGGCTGATTTGGGCCACTTGGCCCATCTCAATTCTCCTTTTTCTTTTTCTTTCTTTTTCAGTTGAGAAAAAAAAAGGTAGCATTTTATTGTTGTGTTGTGCTGCTCTATCCTTCCCCAAACTCAAAGATGGAAGAATATAATGAGCTTGGTGTGCTCTGTTTCAAACTCTCTTCAAACCTTTAAACTGCAAACTTCTCCCTCAAATTCTCAAGTCTAAATTGGGTATTAATTAAAAAATAGAATCATGTACACCATTTCTGTTTCTCAGTTCATCATCTTTTCTTCTATGCCTTCCTCAATTTTTCCAAGATACCCGACTCCTTATCCTTCACTTTTACCAAAAATAACCCCATATCCCCTCACTCACTCTTCAAGAAAGCTCTCAGTCTCAGTATTTTCAAAGCCCTCTGAGGCAGAAGAAGAGCTCTCAGCCCCGGAGGACGAGTGGCTGAAGAGGTTACCGGACAAGAGGAAGCCTCTGTACTCTCACAGCCTCCCTTGCATTGAGGCCTGGCTTAGGAACTTGGGGTTTTGCCAGAGCAAAGAGGACCGGGCCGTTTGGCTGGTTGAGAAGCCAGAGTGGCAGGCCCAGCTCTCACTCGACGTCACCGATCTCTATGTAAGGTTGGTTTTCTGTTTTCTCAGCCGGGTTTCTGCTATTTTGTGTTTTTGAGATTGGCTATGTTCGTGCAAATGTGTTTTAGTTTGAGTATTGGATGCTTGATTGGTTGGTGGTGTAGTTAGGGTTTTAGAGATAATTTTCTAGAAAAAAAGTTCATGAATTTAATGAGATTCAAAATAAATTTATACACTTTACACTTTGTTTTGTTGTGATTTCTCGCCTGGTTGTTGAGCATGGGTCAAATTGAGTTATACATATTCTATGTTGGAGGTTAAGTGCTTACACTATTAATGATGCAAGAGACGATTGAATTGGATATTGAATTTTCACAGAAGGAGTAGTATACATGGTGAATTTTTGCGGTTAGACTAGTCTACTCTCAAATGGTGTAAATGCTACCTAAAGTAGAAACTTGTTTTGGAACCAAAAATTTGGCTCAGCGCGACTGGGATTGCAGGCAATAATGTCTATTCTCAGAAATTTGGGAAAGGTGTCAACTTGTGGTTACAAGGCTCCCCTGAAACTATAGAATAGGAATGGTATGACTCTTGTGCTATAAATGGTAGGAGAGTTTAGGATTGGATATGCTGCTAAGTCTCCTTATCGCATCCAAAGGTTCTTGAATAGTCAATTGGCACTGTCCACTTGATGCCATGGGATAGTTATACAGGATAGGAAATGGTGGAGATGGTTGAAAGTGGGAAGCTTGTGGGAAGAGATGGAGGTGAAAACGGGGTCGACGAATGGCTGAATACTTGGAAGTGTTCACATTACCCTGCACTGGCTCTAGGTTTTCCCATTCACGTGGCTCTGTATCCTCCTTTCTTTTCTTCTTGATGATGCTCTATTTTTCTCCTAAACATTTTTGTTATATCAAATGTTACCGCTGTTGGATACTGCACTGTTGATGCAGGTATCTAAAGACCGGACCAGGTAATCTTGAAAAGGATGTGGAGAGGAGATTTAGTTATGCACTGAGCAGAGAGGACATCGAGAATGCAGTGCTTGGAGGACCTTGAGGACAACAGAGATTGCTACTGCTGGCCTGGTTTTTGCTCTTCTGAATTTATTGAGCTCCCTGAAGGCACTGATTACTTCATTGCTTGATGGACTTGTGTGAATAGATTACTTTCTATTCGTATGAAAGTACCTATCAGCCTATCCATACGAGAACTTTGAGATAAATAATGGGCTATTTGTTAGTTGTAACTTAAACTAGCTGTGTGGATAAGAGCCTTTGTGATCAGAAGAATCATTATTTTAGGTTAGAGCTAGGGAGGTGCTTAGTGGTGCAAATGCTGTAGACAATTTTCAAATTGAATGTGTACTTCGTTTGGTAATAGAATTGAATGTATACTTCTCTTTTATTAATCCTGGATTTTATTTTCCTTCTCTTGAGTTTCACATCTCCTGCAAGAAATGACTCTGTTCTCCACTAAGTAGCCGATTATTTTTCATTGCCTTACGGCTGGGATTCAGCTACACAACCTAGAACATGATCTCCCAAGCCTCATCTCCTCCCCCCATCCCCCCCCCCAACTTTGCACTTCTCCAAGCTAGCAATTATTGTAATAGTTTGCATCAATCCTGCTTTTCATCATGTTTCATCTCTCTGCTACCCCATCGATACACTCAATGTGATTCTGCAGATTGGAGATAAGACCAGTATTCGTTGACAAGCTGCCCAAATAGTGAGCCTTCCCTTTTCATTAACTTCATTGGCTCATCATACTCCACTATTTGTCCTGAAATGGATAAAAGTATTCCCTACAGTTTTTTCTGGTATTTCTTGAACAATTATGATTGAATAAAACAGGCGTATATTATCTGCTTGGGTGAGAAGGATATCCCAGGAAAGAAAACAGAGGATCTAGAGAAAGTGAAGCTCACCGTCACTAATGGCTAGAACCATTGTGCAATCCATCACAGTCGGTATCCTGTGAGCTACCGTAATCACGGTACAATCTGCAAATTTGGTCCGTATAGTTTTCTGCAGGATCGTATCAGTGGCGTTGTCGATTGATGCTGTTGCTTCATCAAGCACAAGTACCTGACTTCTCCTCAAAAGAGCACGCCCCAAACAGAACAATTGCCTTTGTCCCATGCTCCAATTTGATCCATCATCTACAACTGCAAAACAGGTCAATCAGTCGCTGCTGCTGATCATAATTAACAGGAAAAATTGCACATCACACACTGATATATCAAAACTTACCTGAGGAGTCTAAGCCACCTTTCTCCTGAACAGCATCTCGAAGCTGACACTTCCCAAGAACCTTCATAATGTACAGATAACTCTTTGCTTAGAGAAATTTGCAACCGTACTTTCAACATTCAAAACCGAATATTACAGAAAACAAGCATTATAGGACTTGACTAGTACCTCCCTTATTTCCTGGTCTGAATGTTGGGATAAGGGATCCAAATTGTATCTCACAGTCCCATTGAAGAGAGTAGGATCTTGAGGCATTATTCCAAAACGTGACCTCAGATCATGAAGTCCGATTGTAGAGATGTCAATGCCATCAACTATGATCTTCCCTCCGGCTGGCTCCACCAGACGAAACAGAGCACCAATGAGAGTCGACTTCCCACTGCCAGTTCGACCAACAGTACCAATCTTGTGTCCTCCTTCAAAAATGCAACTGATCCCACGAAGAACAAGTGGTGTATCTGTCCTATATCTGATCTGTTTTGATATCGAAATTATCAGTAACCTTCTTTAATACTAGCCGTAGTTAGTTTTAACACTACAGCAACCAATGTATACCTGCAAATTTTGTATCTCCACTTTACCTACGTCCGGCCAATTGGCTGGGGGACGGTTTCCTTCTACTATTTCAGGGGCTTCACTCGTTATATGTGTGTATTGATTTAGTCTTTCAACAAAATGATGTAATTTGCCATAGTGCACTGGTTCTGAATTGAATACATCAAGGAAATGTTCAACAAAAGATCATAAGAAAGTGCCATTCCAATGAATCCTGCCGTATCATAGTATTAGTAATTGTTACAAGTCCATAAGAGATGACTAAATTACTAGAAGATAGCAACAATGACAGGAGAATTTTAAAAAGCTTACCAGAGCTAAATGTTCCAGGAGGAAGCAAACTCATGCAGAGTGCTGCAGAAGCAAGAACTGCTGCTAATGATTTCTAACCGTTGGATAAACCATTCATTTGCCGAAAAACTGTGAAAAAAGGACTTGCATTTGTGTCAATGATGTCAAAATTCTTCGCCAAGAACCGCTCTTCTTCATTGAAAGCTCTTATTGTAATGGCTCCTGAGACAGACTCCGCTAGATGGTTTGCTACAAAGGACTTAGTTGTACCATTGATCCGCATCAACTCTTTTGCAGTGGAAAAGTAATATTTCTGAAATAAGAAATGTTGTATCATCACTACTCATAACATGCAGATAACATCTGCCAGCCGGTTAAAGGAATATAGCTTTGGCTTAGCATTACCTGTAGGCAAATTGCCAGATAGACCATTGGTATGCAGACCAAGAGAACTTGCCAGGTAACAACAGCAAGTACTACGAGATTGGAAGAAGCATTGATGGCAGCCCCACAAGCAAAGACTAAGTTGAATGGAATATCGAGATCTACGATACTCAGATCAGATGAAACCTATACGAGAAAAGGCGTCCGTAAAAGTATTAGTTCCTTGAATTCCTCCTAACATATAACCAACTTTCTGTTTGAAAATGCCTACCCGACTAAGTATCCTTCCCAGAGGTGTTGAGTCATAAAAAGACGCAGGTGCACGGAAAAGGGAGTTTAGTAGCTGTGAGAATAAAGACTTTGATGCCTCATGACCCAAAACAACTGTTGTAAGAGACCTGAACAGTAAAAGAAATGTTGCAGAAAATCCAATCAACAAGTAAACCACAATCAATCGCAAGGTGCTAACATCGGGATTATCAACATTAGTAGCCATCCAAGAGTTCTGTACTATCTGACTAATAACGAAAATGAGGTGTAAAAAAACTGCCGTTGAGAAGTACAAGAGCCCACTCTTCTGTTTCAGATACTGTATGAATGGCTTCAAACCTATGTCTCCTGTTTCTTTCTCTTCTTGTTTGATCAATTGGTCACCTTTAGATGCTCTACATTGCTTTTCTACATACTTCTTCTTAATCTCTCTGTATGACATTGTACTTTTGGTAGAAGTGGCATCTGCAAGCCTTTCAGAACCAGCAGTTTCTTTGTGTGCATTGACAAGGTCTTGAAATTCTTGGCTTGAAGCCAGTAGATGGTGATAAGGAGCTGCATGTAGAATTTCCCCATCTAACATCAACTGTCAACAGAATATAACTTAAAGTTAATAGCTTCTGCTTGTTAAATGACTATCGAGTCTTATCGAGAGCATGATTAGTGTTTGAAAGACTATGCATAAGTAAGTAACTATAACCCTCTTAGGTTGAATGACAATGCTTTCTGGGCTGACGGGTACTTGGGATAGGAAATTTATAGTAAATGATTTATCTTACGAAATAAATAAATAAAAAAAGAGGAAAAATAGCCTAGAATTGAAAGTAGACTAACCAAAACAGAATCAAATGCTGGCAGGAAATCAACTTGATGGGTCACAAGCAAGACTGTCTTCCCTGAAAGTGCTTCCATAACATATTCCTGCCAATGTGAAAGTTAGCTTTCACCAAAAGCCAGAAATTAATCAACAAAGGCACTGCCTGTGTTAGGGAAAGTGTGTTTACATTGAATAAGTTTGTAGCAGTATGTGCATCAACAGCACTGAATGGATCATCCAAGAGATATATATCAGCATTCTGATAGAGAGCACGGGCAAGTTGAATACGCTGCTTTTGACCACCACTCAGATTGATCCCTCTCTCCCCTATTTCAGTTAGGTCACCATAGGGGGGTAGCTCAAGGTCCTTTACAAGTGAACATCTCTCAAGTGTCTCTCGGTATCTTTGACTAGCCATAGCAGAACCAAATAAAATGTTCTCTTGTATTGTCCCTGTCTGGATCCATGCTGTTTGAGAAACATAAGCAATCTTTCCCAAAGCTTGAATCTGAAAGTCACAATGACAATTTTGTGATGATACTTTTCTATATCTTTTCTTTTTCAAAGAAAGATAGCGACAAGATTGGCCTGACTTAAGCTGCAAGGTGATATCAGTTGAGAGAGTTCTCACAAAACTTAATTGTATTTTCTAGTTATCAAGCGAAAATAAAAATATCAAGCAACGTACATTTCCTGCAACGTTTGGAACTTCTCCGAGAATTGCAGCTAGAAGGCTTGATTTGCCTGAGCCGACTTCTCCACATATAGCCACCCTTTCACCAGGCCTAATATCTAAACTTATATTTCTCAGAGTGGCTTTCGATAAATTCTCCTCCCATGAGAAACTAGCTGACTTGATAATAATAGAATGGTTTACATTCTCCATGTTGCTCTTCCACACATTTGTAGTCTGCAGTTCTGGTGTCTCAAGGAATTTTACAATGCGTTCAAATGCAACCTTGGCTTGAATGACAACCCCAATAACCTCAGGAATAGATCTAATGGGGTTCTGAACAAGGCGTAAAGTTGCCACGAAAGTGAAAACATTATTTGCATGCAATGGAACCTTGAGAAAGTAACATGCTCCAAATGTACAGCAGAGACCAGAACAGGAGATGACCAAAACGGATAGGTATTATATGCTTTTCTTAACTGCACTACAGACAACCATTTCTGCTCCTCCTTCCTTAATTTCTCTATTACATTTTTGAAATGGGTTTCCCATGCATATAGCTTCAACACGTTCATGTTCACAAGTGCCTCAGAACTAGCCTTCAATCTTTCATCTTGGGCCACCATAAGCTTACTCTGAAACTTATGTTGCACCTTAGCAAGTGGAGCATTGCAAACCACAGTCAAAACTATCACCACCAATGATGCAAATGTAGCTAGTCCAACGGCACAGAAAAGAATTACCAATGCAAGACAGAGCTGGAGGATAGTTGTCCAAGTTTGATGGAACCAAAATGGGAATTCACCAATCCTATAAGCATCCACTGTAACATAGTTCATTATCTCACCACCTGAGTGTATCAACTTAGCAGCATTAGACAATCTCAGTTGCTTCTTGTAAATGGCTGCAGTGAGCAAAGACCTAATTTTCATACCAATAAGCCTGGATCGGAAGTACCACTGCCTTTGCGATAAGGATTCTATGGTCTTTGAAAGGAAAAGTGATAAGGTTAACACATAACCTTCATATCTGAAACTTTCTTTTCCCTCAGCAACCAAAATGAAGGCATTAAGCAACAGAGGAGCAGCAGAGAGAGTGAGTATCTTTAACAAAGTAAAGAAATCAGACAGGAAAATCTCTTTCAAGTGGCATATGATAATTGTCTTCAGTACTGAAGGTTGGGAAGAAGGTTCAATTTGTGTCTGTTTGTTCAGTTGCTCCAAGAACTTCAAGTAACAGCTTTCTGCTCGATCTTCCTTGCGCAACTTGGGTATATCTTCGTCGTCTAGAGTTTTCTCCCTACCGTTTTTCATCAATGAATTTAGCCACCAAAGTGAGGCTTTACTGAAAAATCCAGCTTTGCTAAATGGGGTAACATGGTCATCTTTACTAATCTGATTGGTCTCACCATTCAGAGGCATATAAAGGTTATTGCTATCGAGGCTCGAATAACCATCATCATATTTATAGCCCTTATAAACAGATAACAGCAGCAATGTTGCTGCTGGAAATGACAGGACATCTAAAACAGTCTCCACAGAAAATTCTTTTCTGAAAATGACCGAAAACAGCGATAGAGCATAGACAATTCCAGAAAACAAGAATGCAAGGATAGACAGCAGCCTTGACGGTTGTCTTGGAAGTTGTTTCCCCCGGATGCTTAGAGTTAAACCAACTAACAACCCTGTGAAGCCTTGACACAAAGTAAGTAGCCACCAATTCAAAGGCAAAGCAGTCTGTGTATTCCTCAGCTTCTCTTCTAAAGTCCAGATGCCCAAGAACAAGTAGACAATTCCAAGGCAGCCACTAACAATGGCAGAGACCATTTGCAAACCCGAAAAGCCTTGAAATCGGGGAGGAATGTGAACAGCTTTTGATGAGGACTCTGCATCCATCGTCGGCACCTCAACTGTCTTGAAAGCCTTTTGAATAGTGGAAGGGCCCTGAAGAACTCTCTAATTGGAAATGAGCACAGTAGTCAAGACTCAAGTGCATGCTTGCATGTCAAAATATCCTGACAGCAAATTGAAGACGAATATGATATTATAACATCAGAATGAGTATAATATCATATATACTCACATAAAACTAATATTGGATCTCTAATTGGAAATGCATATATTAATAAAACTTGTCCTATATAATTAATTAATTTGTCTCATTCAATTAAATTAAGACTCATTGGACCTAGCTAGTTAGCTATGAATCATAAAATGAAAAGATATCATAATATATATATATATATGTGTGTGTGTGTGTGAATTATTTCAAGCTGATCTGTAGTTGTGCAATTTGTTGCTGAAGCTACAGAAGGGTATGGCCAAAAACTGGAAAAAGATATGAACCACCCCAATTAATGGTGGTTCATATATTATAAGGTCCAAGCCATTAACTGATCAACCACCCCAATTAATGGTTCTGTGATCTGCCAAAATGCAGAGCATTGAAGAGTTTACATATTCATTTGTCCATGTGCGTGTTGCTCATACATGATCCTCTTTATTAATCATTCACTGTCTAGTGTGAGGATCATACTGGTGGTACGTAGTGTTAAGAGTCTAATATATTATAATATTCATATTATATATCGTAATTATAAATTTTAATATACAACCGACAGGATCTGAAAAATATAGTAGTGCTAGTAGTAGATAGAAGATCACCATCATCTTTAATGTGGATGATTTTATCATTTTTAATACCCGGCCCAAATGTTTTCACCCACCCAATCTTATAATAACTCTGTTTTGGCCTTTGTCCTCCTGCCCCTTACTTTTCATGCTTTTCACTTTTTTTTTCTTTTTCTGCCATGCTGCCATGCATAATTAATAAAGGGTTGAGATTGAGCTGGTCTCAAATGTCGGTGATTACGGGACCATAAAGAAGGCCATTACATCTGGTAATTTTACCATTACTGTTAGCCATAATGATCTAAAAGTGATCCTTTCTGTTTTTCCCCTCTGTTATTTGTTAGATGTGAAAGAATGAACGGGAAAAAATAAACTATTTCATGTGTTTATATATAACTCATGTACAGAGAGTTAACAAGTTTATATGGAGACAAACTCTTAGCAAGATAATTATTAATAAGGTATTTATTCTATACAAGATAACTATAACAGAAAATAGTAAACACAGATAAAGCTTAGTAGCACGAGATCACGTTAGGTCTGGATTAAGTTCATCAAGATAGTTGTTGGCGCAGTCTAACATAATCAACTCTTGAAATAGTGCCAATTGTTTAACATCAAAAGTCCCTAAAAATATTCCTAATTCATTACTCAGCCAACAGTAAATATCATTAACTTTTTTTATATAAAGTAATTTTATAAGGGCCAATATTTTAAAATAATAAAAAAGACAAAAAGTAATAATGTCGCTTTGATGGTTCTCTTCTCTACATAGCAAGGCATGTCCCGATAAAATATATGACCTTTACAGGAAATTAAGAGACCAAAAGCATGGCAACCGTCGATCCTGCTGACCGGTATGCAGAGTCAACGGCCTTGATTGAGTTCGGGAGCCGGGTACCGTGAACCCGAACTGAACCTGCATGTCGACCCGCGGGTCGCGCATGACACGCATAGTGCCCGCTTCAAATGTTTTTTTTTCACCCCTTTGGTATGATCGATTAGAATCTCAAACCTCAAACCTCCTCCTCTCTGTCCATCGATCGAAAACCTCTGCAACGTCTCATCTCTCCCGATCAGAACCTATAAAACCTCTCATCTCTCTCGATCGAAACCTCTGAAAACCTCTCGCCTCTACAGTAGCTGTCTCCTCTTTTCCGTCGCTGGGTAAGGATTTTGGGCTAGATTAGGGTTTCGATTGGTGGTTTTTACTAATTTTAGGGTTTATTAGAGTTTCGATTAGAGGGGTTTTGATTGGGTTTTCTGCTAAATTGGGGTTTTGGATTTGAGTGGGTTTCTCCTAAATTAGAGCTCGGCTACATTAATTTGAGGGTTTAAGTAGGGTTTAAACAAGGTTTTTGGTTACTGAATTTCATATTGATGGGGTTTTTTCTATTTTTGGACAGAAGTTGAGTAAGTTGAGTTAGGCTGTGCTGGAACTGTTGGTGCTGCTTTTGAGGTATAATTGAACTTTAATTATGTAATTAAATGTATATGTTGATTTTCTGTTAGGATTGATTGAGACTGCTAGGGTGTAGCTGTTCTTTTCTGTGTTGTAATTGTTTACATGGTTTTCTGCTAGGATTGAGTTTAAATGCACGTGTTTTTTACTTGATTATACGGCTGCTGTTTTACTTAAACATGTCTAGTCTGATGGTTAGTTAGGATTTTTTTGTTTTCTTGAATGATTATGTTTAAATGGCTGCTGTTTATGAAAAATGTTTAGTCTGGTGGTTGGTTAGGATTTTTTGAATGAAATATGTTTAGCTTGCTGATTGATTTTGGGCTTATTAAGGCAGTTGAGGGGGCAGGTTTCAGCGATTTTATCCATGAGCCTCAACCCAAATTCAGGATCCCTAATAAGGATCCTTCACATAGAGTAGACAAATTAAACATTGAGATCCTTCACATTTAATTATACCAGCTATAATCTTTCTTGGTCTATTAAGGCTTTTGGGGCCTGAGATTAAATTAATCTAAGCTTATGGAATATAACCCAATGTAATGTCATTAAGGTGGTTTATACTCTGCTTATCAGTTTCCACTTTGACACAGTACATGTGATTGTACTTTGTTTTTGTATTGTCTTTGAAATGGTACATAACATATTTAACATTTATGTTATTTACCCACCATCTGAAATGTGGGGTTTTCTTTAATTCTTTTGAAGATATGGAAGCTCTGGCTCTAGCTCCAGCCCCAGCTCTGGCCCCTCATGTAAGTAACTCATTGCCCATTATATTTCAGATATTGCAAGGCTGGCCAGCAGTAGTATAACTAGACACTAATATTTCTTTTTTCTTTTTTTAATAGACGCCACATGAACCGTTGAACAATTTGGTGCGTTGGCCAATAACTGAGGACCTTAGGGAGGCATTAACTAGGATAGGTTTAGGATTCTTTGAACGTTTTAAGTTCCAAATGAGGTTGGATTGTACCATGGTAAACGCTTTGCTACGACACTATGATCGTAATTTAAAGTGTTTTACCTTTAATGGCTATTCACTCTATTTTAGTTTAGTAGATGTCCTTCTCATCACTGGTATGCCAATTGACGGTAGACCGGTTATTGGCAGGATAGGGAAAACAGAAACTTTATTTTTGAATGCTTTTGGTATCAATCCTCCTCCAGAGTCTTTGGATGGAGGGAGGATTAGGCTTAGTTGGTTAAGAGAAAATTATAGCAATAACCCAGTACGTCCAGATGAGGATGGGTGGGCACACTATCTTAGAGCCTATCTCATGTATGTCATTGGGTCATATATAATACCCGATGACTGCACTGGGTTAGTTTCTGCCCAGTATTTGGGGCTCTTGGACAATCTTCAGGAGGTTGGCAGCTATGCGTGGGGCGCAGCTGCATGGGCGAGCTTGTACAATTCTTTGGATCGAGGAATTGTAAACGGCTTGGCATACGCTCTCATGGTAAGTATTTGCATGATTCAATATCAAACAGCACCATTCTCACTTTAACTAAACTTGGATTTGATGTTTTAACTTCTCTACTTTCCTGATCTGTTTATTACTTGTCCAGGTTTTTGCCCTAGAGCATATAAAGCCACTACGCATAAAGCTGATAGGGGAGACAGTGGATCTCCCGATGGAGTGTCCATTAATGGTGCCATGGTCCCACCTTCTCCATAAACGCTTGAATGGGAACACAGTTCCCAATTTTGGATCCTATATGGAAATTCTGGGGAACGCAACTGATGAAAATGTAAGTCTTTAAAAGACTTATTTAAATGCAACCAAATTTTGAAGCTATAGTTCTTAATTAATTTATTTTGTATTTTCTATTGTAGTTCATACAGCAGCCTTATCAGAGGCTTAGCCATACTCTTCTAGGGGAGGGTTATGAGCGTTATGCCCTTCAGCTGGCTAAGGCATGTTCAGTCACTCTGTGCATCAATTATCACATAGTTGTCCCTCACAAACCAAACAACTATGCTAGGCAATTAGGTTTTGAGAATGTAGACCTAGATTCGATACCAGAGCTTCCTGATGTGGTGGTTGAAGTAAGGAAGAAGGGGCCAAAGAAAGATTTAAATCTTGTTGACCACGGGCACTCTCCCCTGTACATTAACAGCTGGGTTGGCAGGTTTCCTTTGAGAGGGCTGCGGATAGGTAAGTGCATTCTGGTTTCATTAAATTTTTTTAATAATTCTGATTTTTTTAGCCGCACGGCTCTACATTTTCTTTTATATATATATTTTTTAAAATTTCTGATTTTTTATTTATTTTTGTTTTCTGGTTATCACCAGCTGGTTTAGTAGGTCCTCCATACGCTGTGGAATTGCCGGCGCATGACGCGCATGACGTGCCTGTGCATGCCCTTCATGACAACCCACAACTGCCCCCCCACGACGAGCAACTACAGACCCTAAAACCTAAACCCAGGAAGAGAAGAAGAAGGGAAGTTCTGCAACCTAGTTCTACTGCTGTCCCGTCAGCATCTCACCAGGCAGAGCCCTCCACCTTGCCTGCACCTGAACAGCTGTCTTGTGTTGAGGAACCGGTTAGGCGTAGATATAGTCTTGCCTTTTTTCTTATGCATCTCTCTTTTTAGGCTTGCAATCATTAAGTTAGCCTAGCATGCCTTTTATTTGAATTTTGAAGTATATGAAATTTTGTTATTCATGGATTTTGTTACAATACTTAAAAGAACATGAGGTTAATATGGTGTGATTAAATGAATTATTAGTTAAAAGATTGAGTGGCTTAGTTGATTGGAAAATGCTTTTTTGTTCATAATTCACTAGCTAAAAGAACGTACAATAGAGTAAACCGGTTTTTAATAGAGTAAAATAGTTGCAACTTTGTCGATTCAAATGTGGATTAAAATGAAAATGGTGGGTGTGGTGAGACTAAACTGGGCATAGCATGCCTTTTTATTTATTTATTTCTCTTTTTAGGCTTGTGTCATTAAGTTAGCCTAGCATGCCTTTTATTTGAATTTTGATGTTTATGAAATTTTGTTGTGCATGGATTTTGTTACAATTATGTATGTATTGTTTTTTTTTTTTTTTTTTTTTTTTTCTTTTTTTTTTGACATTGAATATTAATAAGGATGTAAATGTGCCAAATCATAAATGGTATATTGGGATTGTCATATAATGCTATTTTGAAATTATGTTACCCATACCGATTGTTAATGTGCCTAATCTTAAAAAACAATATTTTGTTTTTATGTTAGGAGGGTTCACAATTTGTTGACAGAGATACGTTTGAGAATGCTGATGCTGCAACATCTCCATCATGCAATCCTCCACTTCTGGCATCTCAAGATCAACAATCTGATGCAGCACCAGTAGAAGTTGCAGAAGCGGCAACACCGCCAGTCTTCAATTCATCGCCTTCCATAGCTACCAACTTAGAATCTGAAAACAACCCATCATCACAGTTGCTTCAAACCCCAATTGGTTGGCCTCCTGATGGCGAGCTCACCCTCAACTGGGTCCAAAACCTCATGTCAGTCTTCGACTGGGCATCTAGAAATCTTAAGCCGGCCCAATTGCCAGACATGTTTCCTGTTGAGGTTTTTGATAGTTTGGTCATTTGTGCCACCCAGATCCTCCACAAAGAGGCCAATTGCGTCACCATTGACAACTTAGCCTCAGAATCCACAGTTGTTGTCGTCGGAGACCTTCACGGGCAGTTGCACGACCTTCTTTTCCTTCTCCGTGATGCTGGCCTTCCCTCAGAAAATCGATTCTTTGTCTTCAATGGAAATTATGTTGACAGAGGTGCTTGGGGTCTTGAAACTTTCCTAATTGTGTTAGCTTGGAAAGTGTTCATGCCAAAAAGGGTGTATCTTTTGCGAGGAAATCATGAATCAAAGTATTGCACTTCTATTTATGGTTTTGAGAAGGAAGTGTTGACAAAATATAGTGATAGAGGCAAGCATGTGTATCGTAGATGTCTTGGGTGCTTTAAAAGTCTTCCTTTGGCTTCCCTCATTGGTAAACATGTGTACACTACACATGGAGGTGTATTTCGCCACATCCCTGTGATCCCCAAGAAATCAAAGGGAATGAAGAGTCGTAGGATGGCTTTCAATCCTGAATCCAATTCATTATCTTTGGGATCTTTTGAAGAACTAAATAAGGCTAGAAGATTAGTTCTTGATCCTTCATGGGAGGGTTCCAACTTGATTCCCGGCGACGTGATGTGGTCGGATCCTTCAACGACTCCGGGTCTCTCTTTTAATATCGAGAGAGGAATTGGTTTGATATGGGGTCCTGATTGCACTGATAATTTTCTCAAGAAATTTCAACTGAAGTTGATTATCAGATCGCATGAAGGCCCTGATGCACGAAAAAAGAGACCAAGTCTTGGTGGAATGGATGAAGGGTACACCATCGATCACATTGTGGAGTCAGGAAAGCTGATCACTTTGTTTAGTGCTCCAGACTACCCACAATTTCAGGGGACAGAAGAGAGGTACAAAAATAAAGGGGCTTACATTATCTTGGAACCCCCTAATTTTGATGATCCTGTATTTCATAGTTTCGAAGCAATTACTCCAAGACCAAAGGCAGATCCCTTTTACAATTTTGAAGATGTGACTGATGCTGATGAAGAGTTGGGCTTGGCATCAATGGTGACCAGTTCGTGAAGGTACATTATCACCTCTATACTTTTTAAATATATATATTTATATATGTACATATATTTGTATAATATGTTTCCGTTGGAGTATATGTGCCATTTCTTTTCTCTTCAATTGTTTTTAGTTTTTATATTGCTCTGGTGAAAAGAGATAATTTTTCAACAGAATATGACTGAAGTGAAAAATAAATATATTGCTGTACTAAAAAAACTAGGATCTGTTTGATGCAGTAATCATTGGAAGTTTGATTTTACACATCTAACATAGAAACAGTGGCTTTCTAAATTAATAATAATAATAATAATAAAAGAAACAATGGAAATAGGTTACTATTAACCAGAGTAGTTAAGAATACGATCATCTGAAATTATACTAGCAGTGTGAGTGGCAATTAGGAAATGTGTGAACTTATTGGGATAATTTTGAAGTTCCTTAAGATGTCAGGGAAATGGATTATATGGACCATGTGGGTATAATTTGAAAGGGATTGGAGATGCAATATTACCTATAATCTGAAAGGATAAAATCTGTTTGTGACATTTAAATTCGTATAGAGCAACCACGAATGTGGTTTATCATAGCAAGATGAACTAGTTTCAATTTTTTGTAATTCTTCAATGTCAATCATGTGAGGTGTGTTATGCTCTGCTTTCAATATTAACCACTTGTTACATGTTGAACAGGTTGAACTTTCTCACAAGTTTGAAGGACAGGAGCATTTTTAAGAATTATGAATATCCACAGTTTTCGTTGATCCAGGCAGGGAAAAAGGAAGAAGAAAGAATAATTTATTTCCTGGATCTTATTATTAGTATCACAACTTTTATTTCTTTAAATACATGCACAATTTTATGAATTTCAGAGGGAATTTACAGCATGACCTTGGATGCTAAGCCTTGTCTGTTGACGAGAGGAAACAAATATTAAAACTGGTTTTGTAGGTGAATTGGTGCCTTTTGCAGCATATGCTGGCTTATTATTAGTATCACACTTTTTATTTCTGTTAATGCATGCACAATTTTATGAATTTCAGAGGAAGTTACAGTACGACCTTGGATGCTAAGCCTTGTCTGTTGACGAGAGGAAACAAATATTAAAACTGGTTTTGTAGGTGAATTGGTGCCTATTGCAGCATATGCTGGCTTATTCATACTATTCATCCTTGGGAAATAGAACTTTCCAGGGTATCCCTCTGTTCATAAACTGACATATTACTGCTACGAAGTATATAGCTCCACTTTCATCTACTTTCATCTCAACATCAACAAGGAGACACAGCTCCACATGTCTACCTCATCTAGTGCATAATTTGTGTTGCCACAGATCCAATTTTACATTCCTTTGTATATCCAGTGGCAACAGGTGTATGTACTATTGAGAAAAGATCAATTACACAGGACTTAGTGTCCAGTGAGATCCAAATTTAACAGCTAATATTAATGCAAATGATTGCCGGCCATGATGAGAAAATACAACCGACGGGATCTGAAAAATATAGTATTAGTACATATCACCATCATCTTTAATTTACGCAGGACTAAGGTTGCTGCATGCCGACTGATAATGTGGGCGATTTTATCATTTTTAATAATAACTCTGTTTTGGCCTTTGCCTGCCCCTTACTTTTCATGCTTTTCGCTTCTTCTTTTTCTTCTTTTTCACACACGCACACACGCACACAGGCACAGCATAGAACACGATCTCCCAATCCTCGCATTGGCACTTATTCAGACTAGCAGTTCTTGTAATGATTTACAACAGTCGTGGCCCAAAAGCCAATATTGCTATATATATTCAATGGGATTCTGCAGACTGGATATGAGACCAGTATTCCTTGACAAGCTGCCCAAATAGTGAGCCTTCTCTTTTCATTAACTTCATTGGCTCATCATACTCCACTATTTGTCCTGAAATAGACAACCATTTTCATTCAATGTTTCTCTGATATTTTTTCCAACAATTATGATTGAACAAAACAACTGATATATAGATGAGCATTTAACTAATGAAACTCACCATCACTAATGGCAAGAACCATTGTGCAATCCATCACAGTCGGTATCCTGTGAGCTACCGTAATCACGGTACAATCTGCAAATTCAGTCCGTATAGTTTTCTGTAGAATCATATCGGTGGCATTGTCGATCGATGCGGTTGCTTCATCAAGCACCAGTACCCGACTTCTCCTCAAAAGAGCACGCCCCAAACAGAACAATTGCCTTTGTCCCATGCTCCAGTTTGATCCATCATCTACAACTGCAAATCAGGTCATCAGTTGCTACTGCTGATCACAATTAACAGGCAAAATTGCACATCACACACTGATATATCAAAACTTACCTAAGGAGTCTAAGCCACCTTTCTCCTGAACAGCATCTCGAAGCTGACACTTCCCAAGAACCTTCATAATGTACAGATAACTCTTTGCTTAAAGAAAATTGCAACCATACTTTCAACATTCAAAACCAAATATTACAGAAAACAAGCATTATAGGACTTGACTTGTACCTCCCATATTTCCAGGTCTGAATGTTGGGATAAGGGATCCAAATTGTATCTCACAGTCCCATTGAAGAGAGTAGGATCTTGAGGTATTATTCCAAAACGTGACCTCAGATCATGAAGTCCGATTGTAGAGATGTCAATGCCATCAACTATGATCTTCCCTCCGGCTGGCTCCACCAGACGAAACAAAGCACCAATGAGAGTCGACTTCCCACTGCCAGTTCGACCAACAATACCAATCTTGTGTCCTCCTTCAAATATGCAACTGATCCCACGAAGAACAAGTGGTGTATTGGCCCTGTATCTGATCTGTTTTGATATCAAAAGTATCAGTCACCTACTTTAACTCTAACCTTGTTTAGTTATAACACAAAAGCTGCCAATATTTACCTGCAAATTTTGTATCTCCACTTTACCGAAAACTGGCCAGTTGGCTGGGGGACGGCTTCCTTCTACTATTTCAGGGGCTTCGCTCGGTATATGGGTGTATTGATTTAGTCTTTCAACAGAAATGATATAATTTGCTATAGTGCACTGGTTCTGAATTGAAAACATCAAGGAAATGTTTAATGAAAGACCATATGAAAGTGCCATTCCAATGAATCCTGCAGTGACACAGTAAATTGTATAAGGCTCGTTTTGACAACAACAAAATTGTATAAGGCTCCATAGCTTAAATTATGCTACAAATATAAATCATCTCTAGTGATTTTCAGTGCAACAAAAGATGTCTAAAATACTAGAAGATAGCAACAATGACTTCTTTCCCCTTTAGCCAGGCAATTCCAGGAAAACTTAAAAACTTACCAGAGCTAAACGTTCCAGGAGGAAGCAAACTCATGCATAGTGCTGCAGAAGAAAGAACTGCTGCACTGAGTATTTCTAACCGTTGGATCAACCATTCATTTGCCGCAAAACTGTGAAAAAAAGGACTAGCATTTGTGTCAATGAGGTCAAAATTCTTCGCCAAGAACCGCTCTTCTTCATTGAAAGCTCTTATTGTAATGGCTCCTGAGACAGACTCCGCTAGATGGTTTGCTACATAGGACTTAGTTGTGCCATTGATCCGCATCAACTCTTTTCCAGTGGAAAAGTAGTATTTCTGAAAATAAAAAATGTTTTATTTAATCAAGTTATTTTCAAAAGAAAGCACATTTCTCTGCTCTTTCAATTTCATATTCAGATACTTCCTAAATTCCTAATAGATAGAAGCATAACCATTCTTAACATTAACATGTGAATAGCATCGTGTAGCCAGTTAAACGAATATAGTAGCTTCTGCCGTATAACATATGAAAGAACCTTGTATAGAATTACCTGTAGGCAAATTGCCAGATAGACCATTGGTATGGAGACAAACAGGACTTGCCAGGTAACAACAGCCAGTACTCCGAGATTGGAATAAGCATTTATGGTAGCCCCACAAGCAAAGACCAGGCTGAATGGAATATCAAGGTCTATGATACTCAGATCAGATGAGACCTATTCAAGAAAAATGTAATACATAAATTTATTAGTTCCTTGAGTTCCTCCTAATTTGTACCCAAACTTTCTGTTTGAAATGCATACCCGACTAAGTATCCTTCCCAGAGGTGTTGAGTCATAAAACGACATAGGCGCGCGAAAAAGGGAATTTAGTAGCTGTGAGAATAAAGACTGAGATGCCTCAAGACCCAGAACAACTGTTATAAGAGATCTGAACAGTAAAATAAATGTTGCAGAAAATCCAATCAACAAGTAAACCATGATCAATCGCAATGTGCTAACATCGGGATTATCCACGTTAGCAGCCATCCACGAGTTCTGTACAATCTGACTAATAACAAAAATAAGGTGTAAAAGAACTGCTGTTGAGAAGTACAAGAACCCATTTTTCTGTTTCAGATACTGTATGAATGGCTTCAACCCTATGTCTCCCGTTTCTCTCTCTTCTTGTTTAATCAATTGGTCACCCTTGGATGATTTAAGTTGCTTTTCTACATATGTCTTCTTAATCTCTCTGGACGATATTCCACTTTGGGCAGAAGTGGCATCTGCAACCCTGTCAGAACCAGCAGTTTCTTTGTGTGCATTGACAAGGTCCTGAAATTCTTGGCTTGAGTCCAATAGATGGTGATAAGGAGCTGCATGTAGGATTTCCCCATCAAGCATCAACTGTCAACAAAATTGAACTTGTGTTATTATGTAGGAGTAACAGCTTGTGCTAAGTGACTAACTAGTCATATACAGAGCTGAAACACAACGCATGATAAAATAACTACAACCCTCGTAGGTTGATTGAAAATGTGTTTTCTTTTTTGCTACAATCACAATGTGCAATTGGTTGAAGGGAGCGTAGAATAGGAAATGGCTAGCCCCTGCTAATTAATAGATTTGAAATAAATTGATTTATGGAAAAAAAGAAAAAATGGAGAAATAGCCTAGAGTTAATGGTAGACTAACCAAAACAGAATCAAATGCAGGCAGGAAATCAACTTGATGGGTCACAAGTAAGACAGTCT